TGTCTAAGAGGCAATGATTGTCTAATCTGCATCATCGGGATGGCATCCTTGCCAAGTATGGATCACTATGGCGCATAACCGCATAGTGTGCATTTTCACGCATAGCTGCGTAAGGTGCATTCTTTTTTTTTTTTTTAATTTATTGGCGAGACATCATGAGGTACAGTTGCAGACTTACAAATTTGTGTGTTTGGGTGTCAGTTATCCAATGACCGAGTACCCATCCCTCCACCAGTGCCCGTTCTCCATCATTGACATTTTTTTAGAATTTTTGTTAGTGAAACACCATGAGGTACAGTTGTAGACTTACAAATTTTTGAGCTTGGGTTTCAATTGTACAATGATCAGATACCCATCCCTCCAACAGTGCCCATTTTCCACCACCACGGATCCCAGTATCCCTCCCATCCCCCATCCCACCCTGCCTCTATGGCAGGGCATTCCCTTTTGTTCTCTCTCTCCTTTTGGGTACTGTGTTTTGCAAGAGAGGCATTGAGTGGCCATCATAGTCGGTCTATGGTCTACTTTCAGCATGCATCTCCCATCCTGGGAGGATCCTCCCAACACCCTTTATTTGGTGCTCCCTTCTCTATCTGAGCTCCCTTTTCCCCTAGCACGTGTGGCTGGCCTCCAAGCCATGGAGTAAAATTCCTGGTACTAATCTCGGCCATCCTTGGGTATTAGTCTCCGATTTTGTGACTTGATGTTCCCCAGAGCAATGCAATCTGTAAGATGCATTTCTTATGCCCAATGATCGCAGACGATGCAGTAACAATCGTACGGCCGCAATTATGCAATGGTAGTCGTAGAAGGTGCCTGGAAGAACTGCAGAATCGGCTTTGTTGTTTTGCACAGTGATGGCACAATAGGCTTTATCACGCACAGCCATTGCATAACGGGCATGATTATTGATTATTATTACAATGCAATAGTAATTCATGCCACGCAAATGCAGCCGAGAGCCGCATCCTAACGTCAGCGGAATAAAAGGTGAAGCTGGCAGGCCCTCCTCGGCCCAGGGGGACCCAGCACAAGCCAAAAAACGGGAAATCTGGGGTTGCATAAGGTCCATTGATCATCAGCCCCGGACTTCCAATCAATCGATAGGCTGGGAGATCTTCGATTATCGATACGCCCTGAATCTCCCTGCCGGGGTCGGCTGTGCTGGCCCTGCACCGTCTGGACAGCTCAGCTGCAGCAGGGTCAAGCTGGGTGCAAGTGGCCAGAGAGCCGCAGGGCGGGGGCGGGGCGGGCTGGCCTTGGCGCAGGCGCAGTGCGCGCGGCGTCGGGCCCGGCCCCCCCCTTCTCGCCCCGCGGGTGGCGCTGGGCGGAAGTCCCGCCCCTGAGGGAGGGCTTGGGCAGTACAGACGAATCGGAAGGCGATACTCGGCGGAAGTCCCGCCCCGGGGACAGCGCGGAGGAATCGGGAGGCGGCGCGCGGCGCGAGTCCCGCCCCGGGGGCGGGCCCCAGCGGCGCGGACGAATCGGACGGCGGTATGCGGAGGAAGTCCCGCCCCGGAGTCCGCGCCGAGGAATCGGGCGGCGGCGCGCGGCGGAAGTCCCGCCCCGGGGGCGGGGCCGGGCGGCGCGGGGGCGGGGGCGGCGCGCGGCGCGCGGGCCCCGGCGCCGGAAGCGGAAGTGCGTCACGGGCGGGCGGCGTCGGGGCGGCCGCGGGCGTCGGGGGACGCGGAGCGGGGCCGGGCGGGCGGCGGGAGACCCCGCGCCGGTGAGCCTGGGGGGCGGGCGCGGGGGGCGCTGGGGGCCCTGGGGGGTCCCCTAGGGCGCTCCGGGGGGTCGCCAGGGGGCTGTGGGGGTCCCCGGGAGGGTCTGGGGGGCCTTAAGGGGCTAAGGGGGGGGTCCCTAGGTGGAGATCGGGGGTCCCTAGGGCGGGTATGGGGGTCGTTAGGGTGCTATGGGGGAGTCCCTACGCGGTTATGGGGGGTCCCTAGGCGGGTATGGGGGTCCCCACGCTGGGTATGGGGGTCGTTAGGGTGCTATGGGGGTCCCTAGGTGGATATGGGGGGTCCCCAGGCTGGATATGGGAGTCGTTAGGGTGCTATGGGGGGGGTCCCTACACTCGGTATGGGGGGTCGTTAGGGTGGTTTGGAGGTCCCTAGGTGGATATGGGGGGGGTCCCTAGGTGGAGATCGGGGGTCCTTAGGCAGGTATGGGGGTCCCCGGGCTGGGTATGGGGTCGTTAGGGTGCTATGGGGGGGTCCCTACGCGGTTATGGGGAGTCCCTAGGCGGATTGGGGGTCCCTGCACTCGGTATGGGGGTCGTTAGGGTGCTATGGGGGGTCCCTAGGTGGATATGGGGGTCCCTAGGCGGTTCTGAGGGTCCCCACGCTGGGTATGGGGGTCGTTAGGGTGCTATGGGGTCCCTAGGTGGGTATGGGGGGTCCCTAGGTGGGTATGGGGATCCCTAGGGTGCTCTGGGGGGCCTCCAGGGACCTATGGGGTCCCTAGGATGGTCTGGGGGGCGTTAGGGGGCTGTGAGGGAGGTCCCTAGGTGGAGATCGGGGGTCCCTAGGCGGTTCTGGGGGTCCCCACTCTGGGTATGGGGGTCGTTAGGGTGCTATGGGGGTCCCTAAGCGGATATGGGGGGGTTCCTAGGCGGTTATGGGGGGGTCCCTAGGTGGGTATGGGGGTCACTAGGGTTCTCTGGGGGGTTGCCAGGGGGCTATGGGGTCCCCAGGATGGTCCTGGGGGGCATTAGGGGTCTATGGGGGGGTCCCTAGATGGAGCTCAGGGGTCCCTAGGTGGTTATGGGGGGGTTCCTAGGCGGTTATAGGGGTCCCACGCTGAGTATGGGGGTCGTTAGGGTGCTATGGGGGTCCCTTGATGGATATGGGAATCCCTAAGTGGGTATGAGGGTCCCTAGGGCGCCTGGGGGGTCACAGGGGGCTGTGGGGTCCCTGGGATGGTCTGGGGGGCATTAGGGGGGCTATGGGGGGTCCCTAAGTGGAGATGGGGGGTTCCTAGGCGATTATGTAGGGTCCCTGGGCGGATATGGGGGTTCCCTACACTCAGTATGGGGGTCATTAGGGTGGTTTGGGGGTCCCTAGGTGGTTATGGGGGTTTTCTAGGCAGTTATGGGGGTCCCTAGGTGGTTATAGGGGTCACTAGGGTGCTCTGGGGGGTTGCCAGGGGCTGTGGGGTCCCTAGGATGGTCTGGGGGGCATTAGGGGGCTATGGGGGGGTCCCTAGGTGGAGATCAGGGGTCCCCTAGGTGGTTATGAGGGGTTCCTAGGCGGTTATCGGGATTCCACGCTGAGTATGGGGGTCGTTAGGGTGCTGTGGGGGTCCCTAGGTGGAGATGGGGGGTCCCTAGGCGGGTATGGGGTCCCTAGGGTGCTATGGGGGGTCACCAGGGGGCTACGGGATCCCTAGGATGGTCGATGGTCTGGGGGGCGTTAGGGGGCTATGGGGGGTCCCTACGTGGAGATCAGGGGTCCCTAGGCGGTTCTGGGGGTCCCTACACTCGGTATGGGGATCCATAAGGTGACATGGGGGGTCCCTACGCTGGGCATGGGGGTCGTTAGGGTTCTCTGGGGGTTCCCTTGGCAGATATGGGGGTCCCTAGGTGGGCATGGGGAGGTCGTTAGGGTGCTTTGGGGGTCCCTGGGATGGTATGAGGGTCCCTAGGCGGGGTACACGGGGCGGCATCAGGGTGGTCTGGGGATTCCTAGGGTGGTATGGGGGGGGTTCCTAGGATGGTATAGGTGGTCCCTAGGCGAATGTGGGGGGACTTTTAGGGGGATATAGGGGGTCCCTAGGGGGGTATGGGGGTCTCTAGGGGAGTATGGGGGGGTCTTTAGGATGGTATGCGGGTCTCTAGGGGGTGTGGGAGGTCATTACGGTGCTATCAGGGGTCCTTAGGATGGTATGGGGGTCCGTAGGTGGATATGGGGGTCCCTAGGCGGATATGGGGGTCCCTAGGCGGATATGGGGGTCCCTGGGCAGATTTGGGGGGTCCCTAGCAGGTATGGGGGGTCCATTAGGGAGGTATAGGGGTTCCCTAGGTGGGTGTAGGGTGGTAATGGGGAGGTCCGTAAGCGGATATGGTGAGTCATGACAGCCCTATGGGGGTCCCTAGGCAGGTCTGGGGGTTCCCTAGGGTGGCCTCGGGGGTCCGAAGGCAAGTATGGGGGTCCCTAGGAGGGGACGCAGGTCCCTAGGGTGGGCATGGCGGGGTGGTCCCTGGGCGGGCATGGGGGTCCGTAAGTGGATATGGTGAGTCATTCCATCTGTATGGGGGTCCGAAGGCGAGTATGGGGGTCCCTAGGAGGGGACGCAGGTCCCTAGGGTGGGCATGGCGGGGTGGTCCCTGGGCGGGCATGGGGGTCCGTATGTGGATATGGTGAGTCCATTCCATCTGTGTGGGGGTCCCTAGGCGAGTATGGGGGTCCCTAGGAGGGGATGTCCCTAGGAGGGGATGCAGGTCCCCTAGGGTGGGCATGGCGGGGTGGTCCTGGGCGGGCATGGGGGTCCGTAGTGGATATGGTGAGTCATTCCATCTGTATGGGGGTCCCTAGGCGAGTACGGGGGTCCCTAGGAGGGGACGCAGGTCCCTAGGGTGGGCATGGGGTGGGGGGTCCCTGGGCGGGCATGGGGGTCCGTAAGTGGATATGGTGAGTCATTCCATCTGTATGGGGGTCCCTAGGCGAGTACGGGGGTCCCTAGGAGGGGACGCAGGTCCCTAGGGTGGGCATGGCGGGGTGGTCCCTGGGCGGGGATGGGGGTCCGTAAGTGGATATGGTGAGTCATTCCATCTGCAATGGGGGTCCCTGGGCGAGTACGGGGGGTCCCTAGGAGGGGACGCAGGTCCCTAGGGTGCCACGGGGGGCAGGGCCGGGCTTTCCGGAAAGCCCACCCAGCCTGTCGGGGGGCGGGAGGAGAGCCCCGAGAGTGGCCCCCGGCCCGCCGGGGAGGAGGGCGGCCGGTGAGCACGCTGTCCCCACCCCGCCCGCCGCCCGCAGGGCCCAGGAGGCGCGCCGGCCATGGCGGCGGCCACCATCGTGCACGACACGTCGGAGGCGGTGGAGCTGTGCCCGCCCTACGGGCTGTACCTGAAGCCCAATCACCAAGATGACCATCAGCGTGGCGCCTGCCGCAGCTGAAGCAGCCGGGGCAAGTCCATCTCCAACTGGGAGGTGATGGAGCGGCTCAAGGCCATGGTCCCAGCAGCACCAGTTCTCCACGCTGCGCATCGCCAAGAGCACCATGGACTTCATCCGCTTCGAGGGCGAGGTGGAGAACCGCGGCCTGGTCAAGGCCTTCCTGGCCTGCCTGGACGGCAAGACCATCAAGCTCAGCGGCTTCTCGGACATCCTGCGGGTGCGGGCCGCCGAGTTCAAGATCGACTTCCCCACGCGCCACGACTGGGACTCCTTCTTCCGCGACGCCAAGGACATGAACGAGACGCTGCCCGGCGAGCGGCCCGACACCCATCCACCTCGAGGGGCTGCCCTGCAAGTGGTTCGCGGCCCGCGAGCCGGGCGCCGAGAAGCCCAGCGAGCGCGTGCTGGTGCAGGTCTTCGAGAAGTTCGGCGCCATCCGCCACGTGGACATCCCCATGCTGGACCCCTACCGCGAGGAGATGACCCGGCCGCAGCTTCCACACCTTCAGCTTCGGCGGCCACCTCAACTTCGAGGCCTACATCCAGTACTGCGAGTACGCCGGCTTCATCCAGGCCATGAGCGCCCTGCGCTGCATGAAGCTCATGTACAAGGGCGAGGACGGCAAGAGCCGTCGCGCTGCAACATCAAGGTCGGACGCCGGGCGGTCCGGAGCGGCCGGGGGGCCGGCCGGCGGGCGGGCGGATGCACGGACGGATGGATGGACGGAGGGATGGATGGATTGACGGACGGATGGATGGATGGGCGGGCAGACGGATACATGGACGGGCGGGCAGACAGATGGATGGGCAGACCGGTGGATCAGCGGGCAGACAGATGAATGGATGGGCGGACGGATGGGCGGATGGATGGATGGGTGGGTGGATGAGATGGATGGATGGATGGATGGATGGATCGATGGGTGGGTGGATGGATGGATGGATGTGTCGGATGGTCGGATGGATGGATGGGTGGGTGGAGGCATGGATGGATGCATGGATGGACAGGCAGATGGATGGACAGGCAGATGGATGGATGGATGGATGGGCAGATGGATCGATGGACGGACGGATGGACAGAGGATGGATGGTGCGGACGGATGGGGCAGATGGATGGATGGATGGATGGGTGGGTGGGTGGGTGGGTGGATGGATGATGGATGGGTGGGTGGGTGGATGGATGGATGGATGGGCAGATGGATGGACAGGCGGACGGATGGATGGATGGCGGGATGGATGGATGGACGGACGAATGGGCAGATGGATGGACGGATGAATGGGTGGACGGACGGACAGATGGATGGATGGACAGACGGATGGACATATGGATGGGCGGGACAGAGTGGATGGATGGACGGATGAATGGACGAATGGATCGATGGGTGGTCAAATGGATGGACGGATGGATGGGCCGATGAACGGATGGATGGATGGATGGACAGATGGATGGACATATGGATGGGCGGACAGGTGGACGGACGGATGAGATGGACAGATGGATGGATGGGTTGGCGAATGGATGGATGGATGGATGGACAGACGGACAGATGGATGGGCGGGCAGATGGATGAATGGACGGACGGATGGATGGATGGACAGACGGACGGATGGACAGACGGATGGATGGACAGATAGATGGATCCATGGATGGACGGATGGATGGAAGGACGGAAGGATGGACGGACACGGACGGACAGGTGGGTGGATGGATGGATGGATGGATGGGTGGGTGGATGAGTGGATGGATGGAAGGACGGATAGGTGGACGGATGGATGCACGGATGGACAGATGGATGGGCGGGCAGATGGGATGGACGGACGGATGGATGATGGATGGACTGACAGAAGGATGGACGGACGAACGGGACGGGCGGACAGATGCAGACATGGGCGGGACGCTCCGCACTGGGCACAGGCAGACACCCCAGGGCCGCCCACGGCACGCGGGTGCGGTCCACGGTCCTTCCAGGACCTTCCGCTCCAGTGCCGTGTGGAACCCCCAGGCGTCCGGCCTCCAACGGACCCTCGCCGGGGACGTCCCGTCTCCTCGTCCTGGCCGTGATGGGACGGAGGAGTCCAAGGGGACCCTCGGCCTGGTCGGGGCCTGGGTGTCGTGTGTGTGTGTGGGGGGGCGGGGGTGTATCCCAGGTGTTGTGTGTGGTGAGTGTGTGTGTCCGTGACGGAGAGAGACAGAGACCTGGGGCCCTGCGGGGCCACCCTGGCCCTCGGCCCGGGTGCTGTGCTTTGTGCTGTGTGTCCTGGGCCCTCAGTCGGGCCCACATGCTGTGTATCTGTGTGTGTGTGTGTGTGTTTGCTGTGTGTGCTGTGCTGTGTGTCTGTTTGTCCTGGGTACTGTGTGTGTGGTGTATGTCCTGGGTGCTGTGTGTGTGTGTCCTGGATGCTGTGTGTGTGGTGTGTGTCCCAGGTGCCATGTTTATGTGTGTGGGTGTGTGGGGGGGGGGTTGTTCCAGGAGTCGTGTGTGTGTCTGTTTGTTTCAGGTACCGTGTGTGTATGTGTCCTGGGTCCTGTGCGTGTGGTGTGTGTCCCAGGTGCCATGTTTATGTGTGTGAGACTATGTGTGTGTGTTTTTGGGGGGGTGTTCTAGGAGTCGTGTGTGTGTCTGTGTGTCTGTCTGTCCTAGGTACCGTGTGTGTGTGTGTGTGTGTGTGGTGTGTGTCCTGGGTGCTCTGTGTGTGTGTGTCCTGGGATACTGTGTGTGTGGTGTGTGTCCCAGGTGCCGTGTTTATGTATGTGTGTGTGTGCGGGGGGGGGGGGGTGTGTTCGAGGACTCGTGTGTGTGTGTGTGTGTGTGTGTGGTATTTGTTCCGGGTGCTGTGTTCGTGTGTGTCTGGTGTGTATCTCGGGTGCTGTTTGTATGTGTCCCGGTTGCCTTTTGGTGTGTGTGTGTGTGTGTGTCTGGTGTGTGTCTGTGTGTCTGGGTGCCGGTGTGTCCGTGTGTGTGTGCTTTCTGTTCCAGGTGCCGTGTGGTGTGTGTGTGTGTGTGTGTGTGTATGTGTGTGTGTTGGGTACCGTGTGTGTCTGTGTGTGTGTCCCGAATGCTGTGTGTGTGTGTGTGTGTTCCGGGTACCGTGTGTGTCTGTGTGTGTGTGTCCGTCCCGGGCCCCGGTGCTGGGGCGGGCAGGCGCGTGGGTGGGTCCGGCCCCGGCCCGGCCCCCGCCCACCGGGCCTCCCTGGGTCCCTCCCCGCAGGTGTCGTTCGACTCCACGAAGCACCTGAGCGACGCGTCCATCAAGAAGCGGCAGCTGGAGCGGCAGAAGCTGCAGGAGCTGGAGCAGCAGCGCGAGGAGCAGAAGCGCCGCGAGAAGGAGGCCGAGGAGCGCCGGCGCGCCCAGGAGACGTGCGTCGCGGGGGGGGCACGGCGGGGCTGGGCGTGTGCGCGGAGGCCTGGCCGGACGGGGGGCCCCAAGAAAGGTCCCTGGGAACGCTCTCATGACCCACACCGGACCTTCCGGAACCTTCCAGAACCTTCCAGAACGTTCCGGGACCTTCCGGATAGTTCCCCACAGGGCCACGCTGAGCCTGTGCATCTGTACCTGTGTGTGTGTGTGTCTCTGCTGGTGTGGTGTCTGGTTTGTGCCTGAGTGTCTGTGTGCGTGCGTGCGTGTGTGTGTGTCTCCTCTTTGTGTATATGAGCACCTGTCCTGTGCAGTTGTGTGTGTTTGTGCATTTCATTCTCTGTGTGTTGTGTGTTTCTGTTTGTGTCTGTGTCTGTCTGCCTGTCTCTCTGTCTCTGGGCGTTTCCTGCTCGGTGGGCCCCAAGAAAGGGTCGTCTGGCCCCTGGGAATGGCCTCATAACCCACACCGGACCTTCCGGAACCTTCTGGAACCTTCTGGATAATTCCCCACAGGGCACGCTGCGTCTGGATGCTGAGCCTGTGCGTCTGTCCTTGTGTGTGTCTGTGTGTGCTGCTGTGTTTGTGGTGTGTGGTTGGTGCCCATGTGTGTGTCCTGCTGTGTGCCTCTGCGCACAACTCTGTGTGTGCTTGTCCTGCTCTGCAACCGTGTTTGTCTCTGCATGCCATGTTGTGTGCCTGTGCGTGTGTGTATGTGTGTCCGCTTTGTGTATATGAGCACCTGTCCAGTGCAATTGTGTGTGTTTGTGCATTTCATACTGTGTGCCTCTGTGTGTGTGTGTGTGTGTGTGTGTGTGTGTGTGAGAGAGAGAGAGAGAGAGAGAGAGATTCTGTTTGTGTCTGTCTGCCTGTCTCTGTGCGTTTCCTGCTCGGGGGGCCCCAAGAAAGGGTCGTCTGGCCCCTGGGAATGGCCTCATAACCCACACCGGACCTTCTGGAACCTTCTGGAACCTTCCGGATAATTCCCCACAGGGCACGCTGCGTCTGGATGCTGAGCCTGTGCGTCTGTCCCTGTGTGTGTCTGCGTGTGCTGGTGTGCTTGTGGTGTGTGGTTTGAGCCTGTGTGTGTGTCCTGCTGTGTGCCTCTGCGCACAACTCTGTGTGTGCTTGTCCTGCTCTGCGCCCGTGTTTGTCTCTGCATGCCATGTTGTGTGCCTGTGCGTGTGTGTATGTGTGTCCGCTTTGTGTATATGAGCACCTGTCCAGGGCAATTGTGTGTGTTTGTGCATTTCATACTGTGTGCCTCTGTGTGTGTGTGTGTGTGTGTGTGTGTGTGTGTGAGAGAGAGAGAGAGAGAGAGAGAGAGAGAGAGATTCTGTTTGTGTCTGTCTGCCTGTCTCTGTGCGTTTCCTGCTCGGGGGGCCCCAAGAAAGGGTCGTCTGGCCCCTGGGAATGGCCTCATAACCCACACCGGACCTTCTGGAACCTTCTGGAACCTTCCGGATAATTCCCCACAGGGCACGCTGCGTCTGGATGCTGAGCCTGTGCGTCTGTCCCTGTGTGTGTCTGCGTGTGCTGGTGTGCTTGTGGTGTGTGGTTTGAGCCTGTGTGTGTGTCCTGCTGTGTGCCTCTGCGCACAACTCTGTGTGTGCTTGTCCTGCTCTGCGCCCGTGTTTGTCTCTGCATGCCATGTTGTGTGCCTGTGCGTGTGTGTATGTGTGTCCTCTTGGTGTATATGAGCACCTGTCCAGGGCAATTGTGTGTGTTTATGCATTTCATACTGTGTGCCTCTGTGTGTGTGTGTGTGTGTGTGTGTGTATGTGTATGTGAGATTCTGTCTGTGTCTGTCTGCCTGTCTCTGTCTCTGGGCGTTTCCTGCTCGGTGGGCCCCAAGAAAGGGTCCTCTGGCCCCTGGGAATGGCCTCATAACCCACACCGGACCTTCCGGAACCTTCTGGAACCTTCCGGATAATTCCCCACAGGGCACACTACGTCTGGATGCTGAGCCTGTGCGTCTGTCCCTGTGTGTGTCTGTCTGTGCTGGTGTGTTTGTGGTGTGTGGTTGGTGCCTGTGTGTGTGTCCTGCTGTGTGCCTCTGTGCACAACTTTGTGTGCGTGTCCTGATCTGTGCCCGTGTTTGTCTCTGCGTGTCATGCTGTATGTGTGTGTGTGTGTGTGTCCTCTTTGTGTGTGCGCACTTGTCCTACCGTGCACCTGTCCGGTGCGCTTGTGTTTGTGCATTTCGTACTGTATGCCTCTGGGTGTGGGGGTGGGTGTGTTTCTGTTTCAGTTTCTGTCTGCTTGTCTCTCTGCCTCTGGGTGTTTTCTGCTCTGGGGACCCCAAGAAATGATCATGTGGCCCTGAGAAACGGTCTGATAACCTCACACTGGACCTGCCGGAACCTTCCGGAACCTTCCATGATGGTTCCCCACAAAGCACACTGTGTCTGGACGCTGAGCCTGTGCGTCTGTGCCTGTGCCCCTGTCCTCGGCCCTGGCTGTGCCTGTGTATCAGCTGATGGGGGTTCCCTGGGTGTCTGTGTGTGTGTGTGGGTGTGTGTGTGTGTGGCTGTGGCTGCATGTACTGGTGTGTTCATGGTGTGTGGTGTGTGCCTGTGTGTCTGTGTGTCCTGCTATGTGCGTGTGCCTCTGTGCACACGTGTGTGTGTGTGTGTGTGTGCGCGTGTGTCCTGCTCTGTGTCTGCATTTCATACTGTGTGCCTGTGTGTACGTGCGTGTATGTGTATGTGTGTGTGTGTGTGTCTGTCAGTCTCCAGGTGTTTCCTGCTCTGGGAGCCCCAAGAAACAGTCACATGCCCCCTGGAAACGGTCTTATAACCCACACCGGACCTGCCGGAACCTTCTGGAACCTTCCGGATGGTTCCCCACAGGGCACACTGTGTCTGTCCACGGGGGTGGGGTTTGTCCCCGTGTGTGTGTGTGTGTGTGCAGTGTGTGTGCTGGTGTGTTCATGGTGTGTGGAGTGTGCTTGTGTGTGTGTGTCTGTGTGTCCTGCTCTGTGCCTATGTTTCTGTCTGCTTGTCATTGTGTGTCTGTGTCTCTGTGTCTGCATGTCGTGCTGTGCGCTTGTATATATGTCATGGTCTGTGCCTATGTGTGTGTGTGTGTCCTGTGTGTATGTCCTGTGTGTGTGTGCTTGCTCTGCCGTGCACCTGTCCTGCTGTGTGCCTGTGTCTGTGCATTTCATACTGTGTGCGTGTGTGTGTCGTGCCGTGCACTTGTGTAGGTCTGCATTTCGTGCTGTGTGCCTGTGTGTGTGTCCTGCTGTGTGTGTGCACGTGTCCTGCTCTGCGCCTGTGTTTGCATTTCGTGCTGCGCGCGTGTCCTGCCGTGCACTTGTGTCTGGGGGTGTGTGTGCGTGCGTGCCGTGGGGTCGTGGGACCCGCGCCCGCCATCCAGCCGCCCCCCACCCCCCACGCCCCCGCAGGAAGCAGAAGGAGCTGCAGGAGCAGGAGCGCGAGCGGCGGCGCGAGGAGAAGCTGCGGCGGCGGGAGCAGCGGCAGCGGCAGCGCGAGCAGCGGCGCAGCCAGAAGCAGCTGGACCGGCTGCAGGCGCGCGAGCAGCGGCAGCTGCACGAGCGCATCCGCCTGGAGGAGCGGAAGCTGCTGCTGGCCCAGCGCAACCTGCAGTCCATCCGCCTCGTGGCCGAGCTGCTCAGCCGCGCCAAGGTGAGCCCGGGCCCTGGCCACGCCCAGGACAGCCGCACGCCCCGCCCACCCGGCCCCGGCCACGCCCAGGACAGCCGCACGCCCCGCCCACCCGGCCCTGGCCACGCCCAGGACAGCCGCACGCCCCGCCCCACCCGGCCCCGGCCACGCCCAGGACAGCCGCACGCCCCGCCCACTCTGCCCTCGGCCCCGCCCACGCGATTCTCGGCCCCGCCCACCCGGCCCTGGCCACGCCCAGGACAGCCGCACGCCCCGCCCACTCGGCCCTCGGCCCCGCCCACACGATCCAGGTCCCGCCCACACCTGCAGCCTGGCCTGCCTGCTCCACCCCCCCGCGGCCTGGTTCCACCCACCCACCCTGACCTGGCCCCGCCCACTCGGCCTTCTGGCCACTAGGCATAACTCCGCCCACCCACGCTGGTCTGGCCCCGCCCATGAATTGCACGCCCAGCCCCGCCCACGCCGCTTTCTGCCCCGCCCACACCTGCATCCTGGCCCGCATGCCCCACCCTCGGCCTGGCTCCATCCACCCATGCTGGCCTGGCCCTGCCCACCCCGCCCACCGGGCCCTGCCCACTCAGCCCTCTACTCCGCCCACAAGGCATAACCCCACCCACTAGGCCTGGCCCCGCCCACCCGATCCGGCCCCGCCCACTCAACCCTCTACTCCGCCCACAAGGCATAACCCCACCCACACTGGTCTGGCCCTGCCCACTCAATCCGGCCCCGCCCACTCAGCCCTCTACTCCGCCCACTAGGCCTGGCCCCGCCCACCCACGCTGGTCTGGCCCTGCCCACTCGATCGGGCCCCGCCCACTCAGCCCTCTACTCCGCCCACAAGGCATAACCCCACCCACTAGGCCTGGCCCCACCCACCGACACTGGTCTGGCCCTGCCCACTCGATCTGGCCCCGCCCACTCGGCCCTCTACTCCACCCACTAGGCCTGGCCCCGCCCACTCACGCTGGTCTGGCCCTGCCCACTCAGCCCTCTACTCTGCCCACAAGGCATAACCCCACCCACTAGGCCTGGCCCCGCCCACCCACTCTGGTTTGGCTCCACCCACTTGGCATAACCGCCCCCCCCCCCCTCGCTTGCCACACTGCCTCCTCCCGCCCCGCCCATGCTGCCCTGGTCCCGACACTCACTCCGTCCTCCCACACTGGCCCCGCCCACTACACCCTCCCAGACCGCCTCACCCTGCCCATACCTGCCCTCCCGCCCCACCCACTGGGCCCTCTGCCACGCCCACTTGGCCCTCCGCCCCTCCCACACAGCCCTCCAGCCCCGCCCATGCATGCCTGGCTCCGCCCCACACCAGCCCGACTGCCCGTCCTTTCTCCTGGCCACGCCCACAGCCGCCTGGCCCCGCCCTCGTGTTCCCGCCTACCTTGCTGCATTTCGCCCCGCCCTCCTCCCCTGGCCCCGCCCTTTAGTCCATGACCCTGTCCTGTGCCTGCCCGTTGTCTGCCCTGGTCTTACTCTCCTGCCCCTACACCCCTGCTGTCCACTTCCGATGCCTCCCTGTCCAGGATCCTCCTCTGTCCTGGCGCCTGCTCTTTCTTTCCGGAGCCCCGCCCCTGACCGCCAGCCCCGCCCCCGCCCCTATCCTCGCCGTGGCCCCGCCCCTGCCCTTTGGCCCCGCCCCTATCCTCGCTCTGGCCCCGCCCCACCCTCCTGGCCCTGCCTTCTCCCTGTTTTTAAGTCGTGGGTGGGGGGGGGGGGCGCAGAGCTACACCGGGTCGCTGGGTCTGCGAGGTCTGTGCCATCCAGAGAGGGCCTGGGGACCCTGTCCCCTCTGGAGAGGGCCTGGGGGACCCTTTCCTCTTCTGGAGAGGGCCTGGTGGGACCCTGCCCCCGTCTGGAGAGGGCGTGGGTGCCCTGTCCCCTCTGGAGAGGGTCTGAGGGACCTGTGTCCAATGGAGAGGGTCTGACGGACCTGTGTCCAATGGAGAGGGCGTGGGGGGCCCTGTCGTCTCTGGAGAGGGCGTGGGGGGACCTGTGTCCAATGGAGAGGGCGTGGGGGGCCCTGTCCTCTCTGGAGAGGGCGTTGGGGGACCTGTGTCCAGTGGAGAGGGTCTGAGGGACCTGTGTCCAATGGAGAGGGCGTGGGGGGCCCTGTCGTCTCTGGAGAGGGCGTGGGGGGACCTGTGTCCAATGGAGAGGGCGTGGGGGGCCCTGTCCTCTCTAGAGAGGGCGTTGGGGGACCTGTGTCCAATGGAGAGGGCGTGGGGGTCCCTGTCCTCTCTGGAGAGGGCGTTGGGGGACCTGTGTCCAATGGAGAGGGCGTGGGGGCCCTGTCCCCTCTGGAGAGGGTCTGAGGGACCTGTGTCCAATGGAGAGGGTCTGACGGACCTGTGTCCAATGGAGAGGGCGTGGGGGGCCCTGTCGTCTCTGGAGAGGGCGTGGGGGGACCTGTGTCCAATGGAGAGGGCGTGGGGGGCCCTGTCCTCTCTGGAGAGGGCGTTGGGGGACCTGTGTCCAGTGGAGAGGGTCTGAGGGACCTGTGTCCAATGGAGAGGGCGTGGGGGGCCCTGTCGTCTCTGGAGAGGGCGTGGGGGGACCTGTGTCCAATGGAGAGGGCGTGGGGGGCCCTGTCCTCTCTAGAGAGGGCGTTGGGGGACCTGTGTCCAATGGAGAGGGCGTGGGGGTCCCTGTCCTCTCTGGAGAGGGCGTTGGGGGACCTGTGTCCAATGGAGAGGGCGTGGGGGCCCTGTCCCCTCTGGAGAGGGTCTGAGGGACCTGTGTCCAATGGAGAGGGTCTGACGGACCTGTGTCCAATGGAGAGGGCGTGGGGGGCCCTGTCGTCTCTGGAGAGGGCGTGGGGGGACCTGTGTCCAATGGAGAGGGCGTGGGGGGCCCTGTCCTCTCTGGAGAGGGCGTTGGGGGACCTGTGTCCAGTGGAGAGGGTCTGAGGGACCTGTGTCCAATGGAGAGGGCGTGGGGGGCCCTGTCGTCTCTGGAGAGGGCGTGGGGGGACCTGTGTCCAATGGAGAGGGCGTGGGGGGCCCTGTCCTCTCTGGAGAGGGTCTGAGGGACCTGTGTCCAATGGAGAGGGCGTGGGGGGACCTGTGTCCAATGGAGAGGGTCTGAGGGACCTGTGTCCAATGGAGAGGGTGTAGGGGGCCCTGTCCCCTCTGGAGAGGGTCTGAGGGACCTGTGTCCAATGGAGAGGGTCTGAGGGACCTGTGTCCAATGGAGAGGGTCTGAGGGACCTGTGTCCAATGGAGAGGGCGTGGGGGGACCTGTGTCCAATGGAGAGGGCGTGGGGGGCCCTGTCCCCTCTGGAGAGGGTCTGAGGGACCTGTGTCCAATGGAGAGGGTCTGAGGGACCTGTGTCCAATGGAGAGGGTCTGAGGGACCTGTGTCCAATGGAGAGGGTCTGAGGGACCTGTGTCCAATGGAGAGGGTCTGAGGGACCTGTGTCCAATGGAGAGGGCGTGGGGGGCCCTGTCCCCTCTGGAGAGGGCGTGGGGGGACCTGTGTCCAATGGAGAGGGTCTGAGGGACCTGTGTCCAATGGAGAGGGTCTGAGGGACCTGTGTCCAATGGAGAGGGTCTGAGGGACCTGTGTCCAATGGAGAGGGTCTGAGGGACCTGTGTCCAGTGGAGAGGGTCTGAGGGACCTGTGTCCAATGGAGAGGGCCTCGGGACCCTGTCCCCTGCGGAGAGGCCTGGGGTCCCTGTGCTCTCCAGAGAGGAGGCTCTGGGGACTCCGTGCCCTGCGGAGAGGGTGTGGGGGACCCCGCGTCCTGCGGAGGGGGGCAGGCCGTGCCCCCGTGGCGCTGACCGCCCCCCCCGTGTCCCCTCCGCGCGGACGCAGGCGGCGAAGCAGCAGGAGCAGGAGCGGCGCGACGAGCAGCAGCGGCGGCAGCAGCTGGAGGAGCGGCGGCGCGTGCAGGCGGCCGAGCTGCGGCGCGTGGAGGAGGAGAAGGAGCGCGCGCTGGGCCTGCAGCGGCGGGAGCGCGAGCTGCGGGGCCGCCTGCTGTCCATCCTGCTCAGCAAGCAGGCGGCCGACCCCCAGGGGCCCGCCGCCGAGCTGGGCGCCGCGCACGCCGACCTGCTGCTGCGGCCCGTGCTGGACATCCTGCACAGCGTCACGCGCGCTGGACACGCGCACGCCCACGCCCGCAGCGCGCACGCCGACGCCACCGGCGCCCAGCCCGCGGGGGGCGCGCCGGGGACCCCCGCCGAGAAGCGCGGCCCCGGGGTGCTGGCCTGCATCCCGCACAACGCGCCCCCGCCGCCGCCGCCCCCCAAGCCCGCGCCCCCCGCCGCCGCGGGGGACCCCGAGCCGGGCGCGCCGGGCGGAGACGCGCGCGCCTCCAATGCGGCCGCCCTCGAGCAAGACAAATGCAACCGGGAGCCCAGCCCGGGGGCGGCCCGGCGGGGTGGCAGCGGCGGCGGGGGGGACCCCCGGGACGCGCCCGCCGCCGCGAAGGCGCCCACCCCCGAGCCGCCCCGCGCGCGCAGCCGGGCGCGCCACCCCGGGGCGCACAAGGAGCGGCGCGCGCACAAGAAGCGCTCGCGGGCCGGCAGCAGCCCGCGCCGCCGCCGGGGCCGCCGCGGGGGTCGCGGCAGCGCCAGCCCCGAGCCAACGGCGCCGCCGCCCCCCGCGGCCCAGCCCCGCGCGCGCCGCGGCTCCCGCTCCCGCTCGCGCTCGCGCTCCCGCAGCAGCGCCGGGGAGCGCCGGGCGCGTCGCGCGCGCGGCAGCCGGGACCGGGGCAGCCGCCACCGGCGCGGGGACCGCTCGCGCTCGGGCTCCGCCGGGCGCCACCGCAGCACCTGGAACCGGTAATTGCCGCCGCCGGGGGACCCTCACCCCGGGGGCCCGCCCCCCAGTAGCTTGAACCAAACCCAGGCCGCCCCGGGGAGACGCGCGCGCGCCAGTGCCAACGCGCATCCGTGCCATTGCGCGCGCCCGTGCGCCCCTGCAGGGCCAGGACGCGCCCTGGGTTCCCCCCTGGGGAAGGCGATGGGCAGGACCACTGGACGGTGCAGGGGGCCCGGAGCGCCCTGTTGCGGGCCCCCACCGGTTGCGGGTCTCTTCTTCCAGTTCAAGGTTAGCGTGTGTGGGGTGTTTTTTTTTTTCTTTCTTTTTTTCTTTTTCTCTTTTTTTTTTTTTCTAAGAAGCTGTTTTGCTAAATTATTTTTACTTGGAACGTTTCCGACTGCAAAAAGAAAAAAAAGTTGTTAAGACATTTTATAATCGTTTGCGTCTTCAAACGAGCCTCCTCCGCAAGGAAAAAATATATATATATTACCAAAAAAAAAACAAAAAAAAAAAAAAGGAAAGAGAGACTTCTTATCTGTGAATTTTTTTTTTTTTTTTTTTTGGCGTTGGGAAAGAAGACGGTGTTTCTTCCAGGTTGCATTTTTATGGTGAAAAATAAAATTCCCTTTTCCAATGAGCCTTGGAAGTTGGTGTGTGTGTGTGTGTGTGCGCGCGCGTCCTGGGCTGGTTCCTCCTAGCAGGGGCGTGGGGTGAAGTGGACGCCTGGGAGAGGCGGGCAGGACCCTCTCCCGGAGCCCCAGAGGGAACTGGACATCCATGGAGGGGTTCGAGCGGTGCCCTTGAAAGATCTGTGTGGGTCCTCACTCTGCACCCTGGGACACGGGGGTCCCGGCAGATGGGGGTCAGGAGAGGGGCTCCCCCTGGCCCGAGGGTCCTGGCCAGAGAGACTCAGGAGGAGGCGCAGACCCCCTCGCCAGGAACACCCAGACCTCCCAGGTGCCGGGAGAGGCGGGAAGGACCCTCCCCGGCAGGGCAGACTGCCAGGGTCCAGTCTTGAAGAGGTGCATGACCATGTCAGAGAGTGTGTGTGTGTGTGTGTGTGTTTGAGTTCGTGTGTGTTTGAGTCTGTGTGAGTTGGTGTGTCTGTCTGAGTTGGTGTTGCGTGTTTGAGTTGGTGTGCGTGTGTGTTTGAGTTGGTGTGTGTCTTTGAGTTGGTGTGTGTCTTTGAGTTGGTGTGTGTGAGTTGGTGTGTGTGCGTGTGAGTTGGTGTGTGTGCTTGAGTTCGCGTGTGTGAGTTGGTGTGTGTGTGTGTTTGAGTTGGTGTGTGTGCGTGTGAGTGGGTGTGTGCGTGTGAGTTGGTGTGTGTGTGTTTGAGTTGGTGTGTGTGTGTGAGTTGGTGTGTGTGTGTGAGTTGGTGTGTGTGTGTTTGAGTTAGTGTGTGTGTGTTTGAGTTAGTGTGTGTGTGTTTGAGTTAGTGTGTGTGTGTGTCCGAGTTGGTGTGTGGATTCACAGACCCACTTGGCGATGGTGTGTTCCAGGCCCCAGTTGGGAGGAGAGGCCGGCCGGGGGCAGCTCGGGGCATCCCAGGGCTGGGGAGGTCCTTGGGGACCCTGGCGTGTGTCCTCGGGAGCTCTGAGCCGCCCTCCCTTCAATCAGGCTGATGGAAGGAAGGTTCTGGAATAATCCTCTTGGGCTCACTGGGGGGCAGAGGCTCCGGCTGCAGCCGGCACCGGGCAGTGGCCAGCGGCAGTGGGTCAGGATGGACTCGGCGGGGCTGGACGCGGGCTACGAGGTCCTGAGCGAGTATGCCCACGGCTTCATGGTGTCCCAGGTAGGGTCCGGCCCCGGGGGCACAATTGTGGGTGCGGGGAGGACAGTGGGGGGGGGGGACACGGGCTTTGGCGTTGGGGGTCAGTGTTGGGGTCAGCTCTGGGCATGAGGCGTGCGGCCCCCGGGCTGAGCGATCTCGGCTCGCCATGCTGGAGAAAGCTCCAGGTAAGGGTGTGGGTGTGAGTGTGTATTTGTGTGTGAGTGTGTATGTTAGTGCATGTGTCTCTGAGTGTGTGTGTCTGTGTGCCTGTGTTACTGTGTATGAGTGAGTATGCATGTGTGTCCGAGTGTGTCTGAGTGTGTGTATGCATGTGTCTGTGTGCCTGTTTTTGTGTGAGTGCGTGTGCATGTGTGTGCATGTGTCTGTCTGTTAGTGTGTGTGCAAGTGTGTATGTGTGTGTATGCATGTGTATGTTACTGCGTGTGTCTGAGTCTGTGCGCACCTGTGTTACTGTGTATGTGTGAGTGCGTGCATGTGTGTTCATGTGTCTGAGAGTGTGTGCCTGTGTATGTGTGTATGTACGAATGCGTGTGTTGTGTCTGAGTGTGTGCCTGTTTGTGTGTATTTTCCAGTGCATGCGCATGTGTCTGCATGTATGTCTGTGACTGTATTAGTGTGTGAGTGTACGAGTGTGCATGTTTCTAAATGTGTATGTGTGATTGTGCGAGTGTATGTGTGTCTGAGTGCATCTGTGTGAGTGTGCATATGTGTGCACATGTGTGTGCGAGTGTGTAGTGTCTGAGTATGTGTGTGCATCTGTATGAGTGTGCAACTGTGTATGTGTGTATGTGTGTGTGAGTATGTGTGTGCATGTCTGTGTCTGCGAGTGTGTATGTGTCTGTATGTGTGTCTGTGTGCATGTATGTGTCTGAGCATGTGTGTGTGTGTGTGTGTGTGTGTCTGCCTGAGGGCAGGACAGTGCGAGGAGAGACCCCCGCGGCTAAGAGCCCCCGTTGCACGGGGCCACGCGGGTTCCATCCCCAGCAATACCCACCTCTCCCCGCCCGCCCCATCGCGGGGTCCAGCCCTGGGGGTCCCCCCAATCCTCAGACCCCCGCCCCAGGTTGAGCCAGCGCCCACCGCTGACCGATACCCCCCAGGACGGGTCCTGGCCCCTGAAAACCCCCCCTCCAAAATAAAAGCTAAAATTCGTCAAATGGAGAGGTCAGGGGGGAGGACGTTAGCCCTGGGGTCCTGGGCGTTGGGATGACCCGGGCGCAGGTCTGAGTTCAGCTGGCCCCCGCCTGGCCTGACCCTGCCTCGGAGGGGGTGACCACCTGGCACCACCTAGCCCAGGAAACCCCCTCCATGCTAAGCAGGTGCTCTACCCATTGGGCCATCTTTCCGGCCCCCCGGTGGACAGTTTTGTGCAACCAGGCAGGTTTGCACACACACACGCAGGGTTGGAAACTGACTTGACTGAGCACGGGGGTGGTGTCCAGCACCGAGGGACTGGACACGGTGTTGCTCTCTCCCGCCCAGGTTCTCTTTGCCGCCTGTGACTTAGGGATCTTCGACCTCCTGGCCGAGACGCCGGAGCCCCTGGACGCGGCCACCGTGGCCGCACGCCTGGGCACCAGTGCCCGCGGGACGGGGCCTCTGCTGGACACCTGTGTGTCCCTGAAGCTGCTGACCGTGCGGACGAGGGCCGGTGTGGGTAAGGGCGCGGCCTTCCTTCCCTCCGGGACCACGTTGCCCAGGGCTGACCCGGGCCTTACCGGCCTCAGGGCACCTGAGATCCGCTACCAAAGCTTTGGTGATTTCATTGACCGTCCTGCAGTCCTGATGACATCACCATCATGATGACATCATCACGATGGCATCACCGCCATGATGATGACGTCACGGTTGCATCATCACCATGATCGCATCAGCATGATGGCATCATCACGATGCCATCATGCTGAAATCATTACCACGAAGACATCGTCACGATGACATCATGATGGCATCATCATCATCGCCACGATGACATCACTGCCCCCCATTTATTTAAACACCGTGGCATCATCACCATGATAACATCATCACGCTGAAATCATCACCATGATGACATCATCACGATGACACAATCACCATATGACATCATCCCGATGACACAGTCACCACGATGACATCATCACAGTGACAGGATCACCACGATGACACCATCACTATGACATTATCACCCCATCATCACCATGATGACATCATCACAGTGACAGCATCACCATGATGACACCGTCACGATGAGATCATCACCCCATCATTACCACAATGACATCGTCACGGTGACACCGTCACCCCATCATCACCACGATGACACCATCACGATGGCATCACCCCATCATCACCATGATGACATCATCACGATGACATCATCACGATGACATCATCACAAGATCATCTTGTCTTTCTTTTTAATTTATTTTAGAGTTTACTTTAATTATTATTATTTTTTTTTTGCTTATTGGGGAGGTGGGGGGAGTCACACCTGGCGATGCTCAGGGTTTCTCCCTGGCTCTGCACTCAGGAATCACTCCTGGTGGTGCTCGGGGGACCCTAGGGGATGCTGGGAATCGAACCCGGGTCGCCTGCGTGCAAGGCAAACGCCCTTCCCAGTGAGCTATCGCTCCAGCCCCCTAATTTTATTTTTCTAAAGCTGTTCGCAATAATTGATTCCATTCAATAGTCCAACACCAATCCCTCCACCGTTACGCCTTCTTGTGACCTTCCATCATTTTTGAGAGACTCTGGCATGTGGTTGGTGGTCCTCCTCCAGATCCTGTTTGCCTAATATCATTATGACATCATCTTTTAAATATCATTATGATGTCATCTTTTAAAGCGCTCTCAACTTTTCTGTGATGGGGTTGGTCGGTTTCCAGGCCTCATTTGCCTAATAGCATTATGACGTCATCTTTTAAATATCATTGTGACATCATCTTTTAAAGCGCGTTCAGCGTTTCTGTGACGGGATTGGTCGGTTTCCAGGCCTCATTTGCCTAATAGCATTATGACGTCATCTTTTAAATATCATTGTGCTGTCATCTTTTAAAGCGCTTTCAGCGTTTCTGTGACGGGATTGGTCGGTTTCCAGGCCTCATTTGCCTAATAGCATTATGACGTCATCTTTTACATATCATTGTGACATCATCTTTTAAAGCGCGTTCAGCGTTTCTGTGACGGGATTGGTCGGTTTCCAGGCCTCATTTGCCTAATAGCATTATGACGTCATCTTTTAAATATCATTGTGCTGTCATCTTTTAAAGCGCTTTCAGCGTTTCTGTGACGGGATTGGTCGGTTTCCAGGCCTCATTTGCCTAATAGCATTATGACGTCATCTTTTAAAGCTGCTTTCAGCGTTTCTGTGATAGGATTGGTCGGTTCCCAGGCCTCATTTGCATAATAGCATTATGACATCATCTTCCACGCCCCCCCACATCGGCGGGTGCTATCTGATTGGTCGTCTTCCAGGCCTCATTTGCATAACGACCTATGGTGGTGTCATCTTTCCACCCCCACCCCCGCCTCTAAGGCGCACCTGTGAGTCTTGATTGGCTGTCCTCGCCACCCTCATTTGCATCCAGAAGCCGATTGGTCGTCCTGCTCTGACGCAATCTTGGGCGTGTAACCAATGGGAGAGCTGGCTCACCTGAGGGGGCGGGGCATGTCGACCCAGGTCCTAACTAGTGGCCTTGGTCACAGCTGGGGCTGGCCTGGGTGACGTCATATAAGCTGTGACGTAAAGAGTCTCTGGGGTGCGGAGTGTCCATCCCATATACCCTCTGCGGACCCAGAGCAACTGGCCCAGACCTCTACACCATGTATGGTCTGTGTAGGGGAGAGATGGTCACTCTAGGGAGGGCCAGTCCCTCTAGGGAGAGATGGTCACTATATGGAGTGCTGGTCACTCTAGAGAGGGCCGGTCACTCTAGAGAGGGCCGGTCACTCTAGGGAGGGCTGGTCACTGTAGGGAGAGATGGTCACTACATGGAGAGCCAGTCACTGTAAAAAGAGGTGGTCACTATATGGAATGCTGGTCACTCTAGGGAGGGCTGGTCACTCTAGAGAGGGCCAGTCACTCTAGGGAGGGTTGGTCACTATAGGGAGAGATGCTCAGGTGGTCACTATATGGAGTGCTGGTCACTCTACAGAGGACCGGTCACTATAGGAAGAGATGGTCACTCTAGGGATGGCCAATCATGTAGGGAGAGACGGTCATTATATGGAGTTCTGGTCACTCTAGGGAGGGCCGGTCACTGTAGGGAGAGATGGTCACTACATGGAGGGCTGGTCACTGTAGGGAGTGCTGGTCACTCTAAGGGAGGGCCGGTCACTGTAGGAAGAGATGGTCACTATATGGAGTGCTGGTCACTCTAAGGAGAGATGGTCACTATATGGAGTACCGATCACTCTAGGAAGGGCCGGTCACTGTATGGAGTGCCGGTCACTCTAGGGAGGGCCAGTTACTGTAGGGAGAGATGGTCACTGTGTGGAGTGCCGGTCAGTGTCACGAGGGCCGGTCACTGTAGGGAGTGGTGGTCAGTGTCCATCTTCCACGGCCCGCAGTGGACACCCCATGCTGTTGATTCTGGACTCTAGCTCTGTGGTGAGTCTGCAAACCCTGCCCGGCCCCTGGTCACTTTGGCCTGAGTCCACCCCACACCAGCAGGAGCCCTGGGCTGCCCAAAGATGTGGCCAGATGTCCAGCCTCCGACGAACCCCCCAGGCCGTGGCGCGGTGGAGCCCGCGGATCCCGGCCCCTCCCATCTTGTCTGTCCTTCCCTGCAGCCGTGTACAGCAACGGGCCACTGGCCAGCACCTACCTGGTCAGCAGCAGCCCGTATGGTCAGCGGCACATGGTCCAGTACCTGGGCAGCACCACCTACCGCTGCTGGACTCACCTGGGAGACGCTGTGAGGTGAGGCGGGCGGGCGGGCTGAGCCCTGGGCCACCCCCGTGGGGGTCTTGGTGGCGGGCGGGTGGACGGTCCCCCTTGGGCGCTGGCCATGGGTGGGAGGGAATGGGTGGACATAGGTGGTCAAGGCAGCCCCCAACTTGTGCTCGGTCCTGGTCATTCTGGGGACGGAGGAATGACCCAGGGCCGGGGGAGGAGACGTGGGGGATGGACAGTGTCCACCTGTTTGCAGGGAAGGCAGGAACCAGTACCACCGGGCGTTCGGCGTGGCCGCTGACCAGCTCTTCTCGGCCATCTATAGGCACGTCCACTCTTCGGGACAAAGCCGGGGCCACCCACCGCCTTCCGTACTTCCTCGTGCCCGGGCGTGCTCAGGGAGCACCGAGCCCCGAGTCCTGTCCCTCACCCCAGAGAGAGAGCCCCGAGAGGCTGACCACGTCCTGCCCAGCTGGACACGGTGTCCAGGGCTCAGGAGAGCCGGGCCCTGCGGGCAGAGCAGGCGGACCTGGACGCGGCAAGGAGACACGGACACTGTCCAGGGCTGCAGCCTGGGTCCTGCCCTCATCCGGGGACCCCAGGGACGCCCCCCAGGGCATGGAAGAGTCTCCGCAGGGGGCAGTGGGCAGTTGTCCAGCAGACCCCAGGAGCCTGCCCGTCCCGCCCCGCCCCTTCCCTCCTTCCTGTCCTCCCCTTCCCTTCCCTTCCCCTCCCTTCACTTTCTTCCTCTTCCTTCCTTCCTCCCTTCCTCCCTTACTCCCTTCCTTCATTCCTTCTATTTCTCCTTCCTTTTTCTTCTATCATCATTCTTTTCCTTCGTTTTATTCTTTGTTTCCTTCCATTTTCTTCCTTCCTTCCCTCTTTCTTTCTTACCTCTATCCTCATTCTTTTCCTTCCTTCCTTCCCTCCTTCCCTCCTTCCTTCCTTCCTTCCTTCCTTCCTTCCTTCCTCTCCTTCCTCTCCTTCCTTCCTTCCTTCCTTCCTTCCTTCCTTCCTTCCTCTCTCCCTCCTTTCCTTCCTTCCCTCCTTCCTTCCCTCCTTCCTTCCTTCCTTCCTTCCTTCCCTCCTTCCCTCCTTCCCTCCTTCCTTCCTTCCCTCCCTCCTTCCTTCCTTCCTTCCTTCCTTCCTTCCCTCCCTCCTTCCTGTCTTCCTTCCCCTTCCTTCCTTCCTTCCTTCCTTCCTTCCTTCCTTCCTTCCTTCCTTCCTCTCTCCCTCCTTTCCTTCCTTCCCTCCTTCCTTCCTTCCTTCCCTCCTTCCCTCCTTCCCTCCTTCCTTCCTTCCCTCCTTCCTTCCTTCCTTCCTTCCCTCCTTCCCTCCTTCCTTCCTTTCCTTCCTTTCTTCCTTCCTTCCTTCCTTCCTTCCTCCCTCCCTCCTTTCCTTCCTTCCTTCCTTCCTTCCTTCCTTCCTCCCTCCCTCCCTCCCTCCCTCCCTCCCTCCTTCCTTCCTTCCTTCCTTCCTTCCTTCCTTTCCTTCCTTCCCTCCTTCCTTCCTTCCCTCCTTCCCTCCTTCCCTCCTTCCCTCCTTCCCTCCTTCCCTCCTTCCTTCCTTCCTTCCTTCCTTCCTTCCTTCCTTCCTTCCTTCCTTCCTTCCTCTCTTCCTTTCTTTCTTCCTTCTTTCTTCCCTCCTTCCTTCCTCCCTCCCTTCCTTCCTTCCCTCCCTCCCTCCCTCCCTCCCTCCCTCCCTCCCTCCCTCCCTCCCTTCCTTCCTTCCTTCCTTCCTTCCTTCCTTCCTTCCTTCCTTCCTTCCTTCCTCCGTCCCTCCCTCCCTACCTCCCTCCCTTCCCTCCCCCCGCCCCTGCCACCCTGACGCCCCCGGTGGGCGTGGGCAGGGCTGGCGGTGCCCGGGCTGTGGTGCCTGACCGCGTGTCCGTGCCCGCAGGACCTCGGCCGAGCGCGTCTGCTTCCTGCGTGGCCTGCAGGAGGTCTGGGCAGTGCATGGCCGCCGCCTGCTCACGGCCTTCGACCTCACGCCCTTCCGGACCGTGTGCGACCTGGGAGGTGAGGACTGGCCGGCCGGCTGGACAGCCCGGGGTGGCTCCTGCAGGCTGGCTGCTCTAGAGTGGACGGTCCAGCCCTGACCCACCCCTGCTCCCCCCACCCAGCCTCTGGCCACGGGACTCCAGGCCCCGCGGTCAGAAACGGGGGTCAGGGCCCAGAGGTGCAGTTAGTGTCCGGTTGTGGGATCAGTGTCCAGCTTTGGGGTCAGTGTCCAGCTGGGGGGGTCAGTGTCCAGCTGGGGGGTCAGTGTTTAGCTGTGGAATCAGTATCCAGCTGTGGGGTCAGTGTCCAGCTGGGGGGTCAGTGTCCAGCTGGGGGAGTCAGTGCTTAGCTGTGGAATCAGTATCCAGCTGTGGGGTCAGTGTCCAGCTGTGGGGTCAGTGTCCAGCTTTGGGGTCAGTGTCCAGCTGGGGGGTCAGTGTCCAGCTGGGGGGGTCAGTGTTTAGCTGTGGAATCAGTATCCAGCTGTGGGGTCAGTGTCCAGCTCTGGGGTTTCTATGGCCAGTTGTGGGGTCAGTCCAGAAGTGGGGGTTTCTGGCCATCTAGGGGAGTCAGTGTCCAGCTGGGGGGTGTCTATGGCCAGTGTGGGGTCAGCATCCAGGTGTTGGGCTCTCGATGGCCAGTTGCGGGGTCAGTGTCCAGCTGTGGGGTCAGTGTCCAGCTGTAGGGTCAGTGTCCAGCTGTGGGGTCAGTGTCTAACTGTGGGGTCAGTGTCCAGCTGTGGGGTCTCTGTGGCCAATTGTGGGGGTCAGTCCTGGTGTTGGGGTCCTTATGGCCAGTTGTGGGGTCAGTGTTCAGCTGTGGGGTCAGTGTCCAGCTGTGGGGTCAGTGTCCAGCTATGGGGTCAGTGTCTAGCTGTGGGGTCAGTGTCCAGCTGTGGAATCAGTGCCCAGCTGTGGGGTCTCTATGGCCAGTTTTGGGGTTCGTGCCCAGCTGTGGGGTCTCTACGTCCAGTTGTGGGGTCCATGCCCAGCTGTGGGGTCAGTGTCCAGCTGCGGGGTCAGTGTCCAGCTGTGGGGTCTCAATGGCCAGTTGTGGGGTCAGTGTAGGTGTGAGGGTCTCTATGGCCATCTGGGGGAGTCAGTGTCCAGCTGGGGGGTGTCTATGGCCAGTGTGGGGTCAGCATCCAGGTGTTGGGCTCTCGATGGCCAGTTGTGGGGTCAGTGTCCAGCTGTGGGGTCAGTGTCCAGCTGTAGGGTCAGTGTCCAGCTGTGGAATCAGTGTCTAACTGTGGGGTCAGTGTCTAACTGTGGGGTCAGTGTCCAGCTGTGGGGTCTCTGTGGCCAATTGTGGGGGTCAGTCCTGGTGTTGGGGGTCCTTATGGCCAGTTGTGGGGTCAGTGTTCAGCTGTGGGGTCAGTGTTCAGCTGTGGGGTCAGTGTCCAGCTGTGGGGTCAGTGTCCAACTGTGGAATCAGTGTCCAGCTATGGGTGTCCAGCTGTGGGGTCAGTGTCCAACTGTGGAATCAGTGTCCAGCTGTGGGGTCAGTGTCTAGCTGTGGGGTCAGTGTCCAGCTGTGGAATCAGTGCCCAGCTGTGCGGTCTCTATGGCCAGTTTTGGGGTTCGTGCCCAGCTGTGGGGTCTCTACGTCCAGTTGTGGGGTCCATGCCCAGCTGTGGGGTCAATGTCCAGCTGCGGGGTCAGTGTCCAGCTGTGGGGTCTCAATGGCCAGTTGTGGGGTCAGTGTAGGTGTGAGGGTCTCTATGGCCATCTGGGGGAGTCAGTGTCCAGCTGGGGGGTGTCTATGGCCAGTGTGGGGTCAGCATCCAGGTGTTGGGCTCTCGATGGCCAGTTGTGAGGTCAGTGTCCAGCTGTGGGGTTAGTGTCCAGCGGTGGGGTCTCTATGGCCAGTGGTGGGGTCAGTCCAGGTATTGGGGTCACAATGACCAGTTGTGAGGTCAGTGTCCAGCTGTGGAGTCTGCACCCTGTGTAGGGCCACCCGGGGCCCCGCTGACCAACGTTTCCTGCTGGTCATTCCCTCTGAGGGTCCCGGGCAGGGGGAGCCCAGGGCCTCCTGCCCCATCCAGCTCAGGGAGGCCGGACACTGCCCAGTGACCCGGGGGTGCCGGTCCCTGCCCAGAGGCCCAGGGGTGCCGGACACGGCCGCCGGACGCCCTCTCTGCTGCCCCAGTCCATTTGCACGTCCTACAGGTGGCTCCGGTGCCCTGGCACGGCTCTGCGTGTCTCTGTACCCTGCCTGCACGGCCACCGTGCTGGACATCCCCGAGGTGGTGGACACGGCCAGGATGGAATTCTCCCGCGGGGAGACGGAGGAGGAGGAGGAGGAGGAGGATGACCGCGTGAGCTTCCGAGCAGGTGTGTGTGTGTGTGGGTCTGTGTGTGTGGGTCTGTGTGTGTTAGTGTATTTGTCTCTCTGTGTGTGTCTGTGTGTCGTGGTATTTGTCTCGGTGTGTGTATGTTGTGTATGTCTCTGTGTGTCTGTCTGTGTGTCTGTGTATCTCTGTGTATATCTCTGTGTGTGTCTGTGTATCTCTGTCTATGTGTCTGCATGTCTGTGTTTTTCTGTGTGTTACTGTATTTGTCTCTGTGTGAGAGTGTCTGTATGTGTCTGTGTGCGTCTGTGTGTGTCTGTGTATCTCTGTATGTGTCTGTCTGTGTGTCTGTGTGTGCCTGTGTATGTCTGTGTATCTCTGTGTTACTGTATGAGTCTCTGAGTGTGTCTCTGTGTGTCTGTGTGTCTCTGTGTGTCTGTATCTCTCGGTGTGTGTCTCTGTGTGTGTTTGTGTGTCTGTGTGTATCTATGTGTCTGTGTGTCTGTGTATATGTGTCTGTGTGTTTCTATGTGTTAGTGTATTTGTCTCTGTGTGAGTGTGTCTGTATGTGTCTGTGTGTCTGTGTATATGTGTCTGTGTGTTTCTATGTGTTAGTGTATTTTTCTCTGTGTGAGTGTGTCTGTATGTGTCTGTGTGTGTCTGTGTGTCTGTGTATATGTGGCTGTGTGTTTCTATGTGTTAGTGTATTTGTCTCTGTGTGAGTGTGTCTGTATGTGTTTGTGTGTCTGTGTGTCTGTGTATGTGTGTGTCTGTGTCTGCGTGAGTGTGTCTGTATGTGTTTGTGTGTCTGTGTGTCTGTATCTCTCGGTGTGTGTCTCTGTGTCTCTGCGTGAGTGTGTCTGTATGTGTTTGTGTGTCTGTGTGTCTGTGTATATGTGTCTGTGTGTTTCTCTGTGTTAGTGTATTTGTCTCTGTGTGAGTGTGTCTGTATGTGTCTGTGTGTCTGTGTATATGTGTCTGTGTGTTTCTATGTGTTAGTGTATTTGTCTCTGTGTGAGTGTGTCTGTAGGTGTGTGTGTCTGTGTCTGTGTGACTGTGTCTGTCTGTGTGTCTGTATGTGTCTATGTATGTCTGTGTCTCTGTGTATGTGCCTGTGTATATCTGTGTGTGTCTGTCATAGTGTATTTGTCTCTGAGTGTGTCTCTGTGTGTGTCTCTGTGTGTCAGTGTTTCTGTGTATGTGTCTGTGTATCTGTGTTAGTGTATTTGTCTCTGTTTGAGTGTGTCTGTATGTGTTTGTGTCTGTGTGCAACTATCTATGTGTCTGTGTGTATTTGTATCGGTGTGTCTCTGTGTGTGTCTCTGTGTTACTGTATTTGTCTCTGAGTGTGTCTCTGTGTGTCTGTGTGTCTGAGTGTGTGTCTGTCTGTGTGTCTGTGCATCTCTGTGTGTGTCTGTGAGTGTCTGTGTTAGTGTATTTGTCTTTGTGTGAGTATGTCTGTATGTGTTTGTGTGTGTCTGTGTGTGTTGTTTCTGTGTATGTCTGTGTGTGTCTTTCTGTGTGTCTGTGTGAGTGTGTCTGTCTGAGTGTCTGTGTGTATTTCTGTCTGTGTGTCTCTGTGTATATGTGTGTATCTGTGTTTGTTCTGTGTTAGTGTATTTGTCTGAGTGTGTCTCTGTGTGTCTGTGTCTCTGTGTTTGTGTCTGTGTGTCTGTGTGGGTCTGTGTTTTAGTGTACTTGTTTCTTTGTGTATCTGTATGAGTTTGTATGTGTCTGTGTGTCTGTGTGAGTCTCTGTGTGTCTGTGTGTCTGTGTATGTCTCTGTGTGTCTGTGTGTCTGTGTGTATTTGTGTCTGTGTGTTTCTGTGTATGTGTCTGCATCTCTGTGTGTGTCTCTGTGTTAGTGTATTTGTCTTTGAGTGTGTCGCTGTGTGTGACTGTGTGTGTCTCAGTGCGTCTGTCTCTGTGTATGTGCCTGTGTGTCTGTGTAGGTCTGTGTGTTAGTGTATTTGTCTTTGTGTGAGCGTGTCTGCATGTGTCTGTGTGTCTGTGTGTATTTGTGTCTGTGTGTCTCTGTGTATGTGTCTGTATGTCTGTGTTTATCACTGTTAGTGTATTCGTCTGTGAGTGTGTGTGTGTGTGTCTGTGTCTGTGTATCTCTGTGTGTGTCTCTGTGTGTCTGTGTGTCTGTGTGAGTGTGTCTGTGTGTATTTGTGTCTGTGTGTCTCTGTGTATGTGTCTGTATGTCTGTGTTTGTCTCTGTCAGTGCATTTGTCTGTGAGTGTGTCTGTGTGTGTGTCTGTGTGTCTGTGTATCTTGGTGAGTGACTGTGTGTGTCTCTGTGTGTCTGTGTCTCTGTGTGGGTCTGTGTATTACTGCACTTCTCTCTGTGTGAGTGTGTCTGTAAGTAATTGTATGTGTCTGTGTGTGTCTGTGTGTCTGTGTGTGTGTGTGTCTAGCTTCTTCCCCGGCCTCCCTAAGACCCCTCCCGGACCCTGTACAGCCCAGTGTGGAAAGACACAAACCCCTGTGAGACACAACCCCTCCTTCCTTCCCTCCCTTCCTTCCTTCCTCCCTTCCTTCCTTCCTTCCTTCCGTCCTTCCTCCCTCCCTCCCTTCCTCCCTTCCTTCCTTCCTTCCTTCCTTCCTTCCTTCCTTCCTTCCTTCCTCTTTCTCGTTCTCTCTCTCTTTCTTTCTTTCTTTCTTTCTTTCTTTCTCTTTCTCTCTCTCCTTCCTTCCTTCCTTCCTTCTTTCCTTCCTTCCATCCCTCCATCCCTCTCTTCTTCCCTTCCTTCCTTCCTTCCTTCCTTCCTTCCTTCCTTCCTTCTATCCTTCCTTCCTTTCTCTTTCTCTTTCTCTCTCTCTTTCTTTCTTTCTTTCTTTCTTTCTTTCTCTTTCTCTCCTTCCTTCCTTCCTTCCTTCCTTCCTTCCTTCCTTCCTTCCTTCTATCCTTCCTTCCTTCCTCTTTCTCGTTCTTTCTCTCTCTCTTTCTTTCTTTCTTTCTTTCTCTTTCTCTCCTTCCTTCCTTCCTTCTTTCCTTCCTTCCATCCCTCCGTCCCTCTCTTCTCCCCTTCCTTCTTTCCTTCCTTCCTTCCTTCCTTCCTTCCTTCCTTCCTTCCTTCTATCCTTCCTTCCTTCCTCTTTCTCGTTCTTTCTCTCTTTCTTTCTTTCTTTCTTTCTTTCTTTCTTTCTATCTCTTTCTCTCCTTCCTTCCTTCCTTCCTTCCTTCCTTCCTTCTTTCCTTCCTTCCATCCCTCTGTCCCTCTCTTCTTCCCTTCCTTCTTTCCTTCCTTCCCTCCTTCCTTCCTTCCTTCCTTCCTTCCTTCCTTCCTTCCTTCCATCCTCCCTTCTATCCTCCCTTCCTCCCCCCTCCCTCCCTCCCTCCCTCTCTTTCTTTCTCTCGTTCTTTCTTTCTTTTTGGGTCCCACCCGGCGATGCTCAGGGCTTCCTCCCGGCTCATGCACTCAGGGATCAATCCTGGCGGTGCTTGGAGGGGGACCCTAGGGGACGTGGGGACTCGAACCCGGGTCGGCCGTGTGCCAGTCCACCCGCCCTCCCCACTGGACTCTCGCTCCAGCCCAGACACGGCAGCTTCTTGCTCCGTGGATCCGTCCGTGCTCGGGCGTTTGGGCTGCGTCCCTGCTTGCGTCCTGGTCCGAGCGGGGGCAGCAAACGCGGGTGTCGGCCTCGAGCCTTTTCACGCAGAACCAAGAGTCCGGAATTCCGGCCCCCGACCCGGGTTCGATTCCCGGCATCCCATGGGGTTCCCCGAGCACCGCCAGGAGGGATTCCTGAGCGCATGAGACAGCAGGAAGCCCTGAGCATCGCCGGGTGGGACCCAAATAGAAAGAAGAGAAAAAAGAAGGAAAGAAAAGGAAGGAAGAAAGAAAGAAATGAAGAAAGAAAGAAAGAAAGAAAGAGGAAGGGAGAGAGGGAGGGAGGGAGGGAGGAAGGGAGGAAGGAAGGAAGGAAGGAAGGAAGGAAGGAAGGAAGGAAGGAAGGAAGAGAGATGGGCCGGACCGATAGCACAGCGGGGAGGGCGTTGGCCTTGCATGCGTTGGCCTGGGTTCGAGTCCTGGCATCCCCTAGGTCCCCCAACCACCACCAGGAGTGATTCCTGACTGCATGAATCAGGAGTCACCCCTGAGCATTGCCGGGTGTGATGAAAGAAAGAAAGAGAAAGAAAGAAAGAAAGAGAAAGAGAGAAAGAAAGAAAGAAAGAAAGAAAGAAAGAAAAGAAAGAAAGAAAGAAAGAAAGAGAAAGAGAGAAAAAGAGAAAGAGAGAAAGAAAGAAAGAGAGAGAGAAAGAAAGAAAGAAAGAAAGAAAGAAAGAAAGAGGAGAATAAATAGAAGAGAATGTGAGAAAGAAAATAGAAGAGAAAGAAAGAAGAAAGGAAAAGAAAGAGAAAGAAAGAAATAAAGAAAGAGAGAGAAAGAGAGAAAGAAAGAAAGAAAGAAAGAGAAAGAGAGAAAGAAAGAAAGAAAGAGAAAGAGAGAAAGAAAGAGAAAGAGAGAAAGAAAGAAAGAAAGAAAGAGAAAGAGAGAGAAAGAAAGAAAGAAAGAAAGAAAGAAAGAGGAGAATAAATAGAAGAGAATGTGAGAAAGAAAATAGAAGAGAAAGAAAGAAGAAAGAGAAAGAAAGAAAGAAAGAGAGAGAAAGAGAGAAAGAAAGAAAGAAAGAAAGAAAGAGAAAGAGAGAAAGAAAGAAAGAAAGAAAGAAAGAAAGAAAGAAAGAAGAAAGAAAGAAAGAAAGAAAGAAAGAGAAAGAGAGAGAAAGAAAGAAAGAAGGAAGGAAAGAAAGAAAGGAAGAAAGGAAAAAAGAGAAAAGGAGGAAGGAAGGAAGGGAGAGAGGGAGGGAGGAAGGAAGGAAGGAAGGAAAAAAGGAAAAAAGGAAGGAAGAGAGAGGGGTTGGAGCGATAGCCCAGTGGGGAGGGCGTTGGCCTGGCACGCAGCCGACCCGGGTTCGATCCCCAGCATCCCCTAGGGTCCCCCGAGCACCGCCAGGAGGAGTCATTCCCGAGTGCAGAGCCAGGAGGGAGCCCTGAGCGTGGCCGGGTGGGATGCAAAAAAAAAAATTAAATAAATGAAATAAAGATAAGAATAACACAAAAGGAAGATGAAATCAATGGACGTGGCCCGGCCGGTGGCTCTGAGCCCAGGGCTGAGTCCTCGCCTGGCCGCCTGCGTCTTGCAGGAGATTTCTTCCGGGACCCGCTGCCCGAGGCGGACCTCTTCCTCCTGGCCCGTGTCCTGCACGACTGGACGGACGCCCGGTGCTCCCAGCTGCTGGCCGGCGTGTTTCGGAGCTGCAGGGCAGGTGGGTGGGAGGCCCTGGCACGGGCTCTGGGGCGGGCGGGACCCTGGCACAAGGCGGGTTCCAAGGAGGGACCCCTGAGCATCGCCGGGTGGGACCCCCCAAAAAAGAAGTTGATTTTAGGCACCAAGGTTGGCAATATATATTTTGGCTTTTGGGGTCCGTACAATAGGATCTTAAATCAGTGTTGCGTATTTTGTTGTTACTGTTACTGTGTATTTTAGTACGTACAATGGGATCTTAAATCAGCGTTGTGTATTTCAGTACGTACAGTATGATCTTAAGTCAGTGTTGTGTATTTTAGTACGTACAATAGGATCTTCACTCAGTGTTGTGTATTTCAGTACGTACAGTATGATCTTAAATCAGTGTTGTGTGTTTTAGTACGTACAATAGGATCTTCAATCAGTGTTGTGTGTTTTAGTACGTACAATAGGATCTTAAATCAGTGTTGTGTGTTTCAGTACGTACAACAGGATCTTAAATCAGTGTTGTGTATTTCAGTATGTACAATAGGATCTTAAATCAAAGTTGTGTGTTTTACTATGTGCAGTATGATCTTAAATCAGTGTTGTGTATCTCAGTACGTACAATATGATCTCAAATCAGTGTTGTGTATTTTCGCACGTACAACAGGACCTTAAATCAGTGTTGTGTCTTTTAGTACATACAATAGGATCTCACATCAGTGTTGTGTATTTTAGTACGTACAATAGGATTTTAAATCAGTGTTGTGTATTTCAGTACGTACAATAGGATCTTAAATCAACGTTGTGTGTTTTAGTACGTACAGTATGATCTCAAATCAGTGTTGTGTATTTTCGTATGTACAATATGATCTCACATCAGGTTGTGTATTTTCGTGTGTACAATATGATCTCACATCAGTGTTGTGTATTTTCGTACGTACAATATGATCTCAAATCAGTGTTGTGAATTTTTGTACGTACAATAGGATCTCAAATCAGTGTTGTGTATTTTCGTATGTACAATATGATCTCACATCAGTGTTGTGTATTTTAGTACGTACAATAGGATCTCAAATCAGTGTTGTGTATTTCAGTACGTACAACAGGATCTTAAATCAACGTTGTGTGTTTTAGTACGTACAGTATGATCTCAAATCAGTGTTGTGTATTTTCATATGTACAATATGATCTCACATCAGTGTTGCGTATTTCAGTACGTATAATATGATCTCAAATCAGTGTTGTGTATTTTTAGTACGTACAATAGGATCTTAAATCAGTGTTGTGTATTTTAGTATGTACAACGTGATCTTCATTCAGTGTTGTGTATTTTAGTACGCACAATGTGATCTCAAATCAGTGTTGTGTATTTTAGTTCGTACAATATAATCTCAAATCAGTGTTGTGTATTGAAGCGTCAAAATATGCTTCGAGATAGATGCTGTGTTTGGAGTACACACACTATGTTTTCCGATGTATGTCTAGTGACTCTATGTTTTATACACATTTAGATAGCTTTGTGTATCGAAGGACGACAAGACGCTTTGAGGTCGATGTTGTCTATCTAACTAGGTACGGTATGATCTTACAGGTGTATTTAAGTCTGACACTATGCTGTGGAGAGGTGTTGTGTATTTAAGGATACGCAATATAATTTTTAGATCGACATTGTGTATTGAAGTACGACCATATGCTTTATAGATGTTGTGTGTTTAAATGTGTACAACGTGTCTTCGATGGATGTTGTGTACTTAGGTATGACAAAATTCTGTGGGTCGATGTTGTGTATTTAAGTACGTACAACATGTTTTACATAGATGTTGTGTATTTAAGTTTGACAATGTGCTGTGGGTCGATGTTGGGTATTTAAGTATGTACAATATGTTTTAGACGTTGTGTATTTACTTTTGACAATGTGCTGTGGGTCTATGTTGTGTATTTCACTCTGTACATCATGTTTTAGATGTTGTGTATTTACGTTTGACACTATGCTGTGGGTCCATGTTGTGTATTTAAGGATCACAATATGATTTTAGATCGATGTTGTATATTGAAGTACAACAATATGCCTTATAGATGTGTGTTTAAGTGTGTACAATATATTTTAGATGGATGTTGTGTATTTAGGTATGACAACGTGCTGTGGGTAGATGTTGTGTATTTCACTATGTACAACATGTTTTAGACAGATGTTGTGTATTTACGTTTGACAATATGCTGTGGGTCGATGTTGTGTATTTAAGTTGTACAATATGTTTTAGACGTTGTGTATTTACGTTTGACAATGTGCTGTGGGTCGATGTTGTGTATTTAAGTACGTACAACATGTTTTAGATAGATGTTGTGTCTTTAAGTTTGACAGTCTGCTGTGAGTAGATGTGTATTTAAGCACGTACAACAGGTTTTAGACAAATGTTGTGTATTTACGCTTGAGAATGTGCAGTGGGTCGATGTTGTGTATTGAAGTGTGTACAACGTGATTTTAGATCGATGTGCAGTTAAGTCTTGCAGTGTGCTTGGACACGAAGGATTCACATTTAAGTATGACAATGTGCTTTTAGATAGAGGCTGTGTATGAAAGACAGTATTTTTTTTTTAGATCGGTGTTGTGGATTTGAGTATTAACAGTACACCTTAGATATTGTGTATCTAACTGTGGGTAGTGTGCTTTGGCGTGCAAATTGTGTATTCAGTATTATAGAATACTGTAATTTATACTCTAATACTGTAGCATATAGTAGACTATGTATAAACTATTCAGTATTACACTATAGGTAGAGATGTGTGTATTTAAGTATTTTTTTTGTAATGTAGGAGTACTGCTATTTATTCAGCCATTGATTAAGCTGATTGATTAATTGGGCACAAACTCCACTGTATTTAACGATGACAATAAGCTTTTGGGTAGCAGTTGTCTAACTCTGTACACTGTGACTGTAGGTGGATGTGAGTTCAAGTATTATACTGTGCTGTTAACAGATGCCGTGCATTGAAGCAGACACAGTACGATTTTAGATGAATGTTGTGTATTTAAGTATTATAGAATGGTGTTGCAGAGTTGTCTAACTATGTATGATAGGATTTTAGATAGATGTGTATTGAAGTAGGACCATATGCCCTATAGATGATGTGTATTTAAGTGTGTTTAATAGGATTTTGGAATGATGTTGTGTATCTAAGTATGACAGTATGCTTTATAGATGTTGTGCATTTAAATATGTACACTGTGAGTTTAGATTGATGTTGCATATCTAAGTATTCCAATAGGCTTTAGATAGCTGATGTGTATTTAAGTATGTACAATAGGTTTTAAATGGATGTTGTGTATTTAAATATGTACACTCTGAGTTTAGATTGATGTTGTGTATCTAAGTATTCCAATAGGCTTTAGATAGGTGTTGTGTATTTATGTACGTACAATAGGTTTTAGATGGATGTTGTGTATTTAAATATGACCATATGCTGTGCATAGATGTTGTGTATTTAAGTCTGTACGCTGTGATTTTAGATCGACGTTGTGTATTTCAGTCTGCACACTGTGATTTTAGATCCACGTTGTGTATTTCAGTCTGTACACTGTGATTTTAGATTGACATTGTGTATTTCAGTCTGTACACTGTGATTTTAGATCGACGTTGTGTATTTCAGTCTGTACACTGTGATTTTAGATCGACGTTGTGTATTTCAGTCTGTACACTGTGATTTTTAGATAGGTGTGCATTGAAGTATTATAACATGCTGTTCATAGATGTTGTGCACTCAATCCTACACAATATGATTGTAGATAGATGTTGTGTCCTTAAGTATCACCATATGCTTACGCTATTGTATAGTTGTTGTTTATGGAACTCTGTGTGATACGATTTTTAGATAGCTGTGCGTTTAAGTATGGCAAACATGCCTTATAGATGTTGCGTGTTTAAGTGTGTACAATATGATTTCAGATTGACGTTGTGTACTTAAGCGTGACACTATGCTGTGGGTAGATGTTGTGTCTTCAAGGAGGTACACTCTGATTTTAGACAGATGTGGCATATTTAAGCATGTACAATGCGATTTTAGATTGATGTTGTGTGCTTAAGTACCGAGACATGCTTTATAGATGTTGTATATTTAAGTACTAAAATATGTTTTAGCTAGATGTCGTGTATTTAAGTACTGTGATTTGCTGTGCATAGATGTGCAGTACTGCAGTCCGTATAATGTGATTTTTACATGTGTACTTAAGGATGTGTGGTGTGATTTTTAGATCAGCGTGTGTTTAAGTATTACAGTACGCTTTGACAAAGAAGATGCGTATTTAAGTAGTACAATGGGCATTTAGTTAGAGGCTGTGTGTTGATGGACAATATCGTTTTTAGACAGGTGTTGTGTAATTGAGTATTAGGATATACGTCAGAAAGATACTGTGCCTCTAACTGTGGACAGTGTGCTCTGGCAAACAGACTGTGTATTCGGTATTAGTATTAATAGTATTATAGTATTCAGTATATAGTATTAGCATTATGTTAGTATTCAGTATTAGTACTATAGTACCAGTACTATATTAGCATTCAGTATTAGTATTATAGCATTAGCATTATGTTAGTATTCAGTATTAGTATTCAGTATGAGCATCAGAGTATTAGTATCATATTCAGTATTCAGTATGAGCATCAGAGTATTAGTATCATATTCAGTATTCAGTATGAGTATTAGAGTATTAGTGTCATATTCAGTATTCAGTATGAGTATTAGAGTATTAGTGTCATATTCAGTATTCAGTATGAGTGTTAGAGTATTAGTGTCATATTCAGTATTCAGTATGAGTATTAGAGTATTAGCATTATATTCAGTATGAGCATCAGAGTATTAGTATCATATTCAGTATTCAGTATGAGTATTAGAGTATTAGTGTCATATTCCGTATTCAGTATGAGTATTAGAGTATTAGCATTATATTCAGTATGAGTATTAGATTACTAGTGTCATATTCAGTATTCAGCATGAGTATTAGAGTATTAGTGTCATATTCAGCATTCAGTATGAGTATTAGGTATTAGTGTCATATTCCGTATTCAGTATGAGTATTAGATTACTAGTGTCATATTCAGTATTCAGCATGAGTATTAGAGTATTAGTGTCATATTCAGCATTCAGTATGAGTATTAGAGTATTAGTGTCATATTCAGTATTATAGAATACTAGAGTTTATACTCTAATACTATAGTATATATATATATATATATTACTCAGTATTATAGCATAGGGGGAAAAGTGTGCATTTAAGTACTCCGATACACTTTAAGATAAACGTTGTCTACTTAACTATGTACATCATTTTTAAAAATTTATTTATTTATTGCTTTTGGGTCCCACCCAGCGATGCACAGGGGTTCCTCCTGGCTCATACACTCAGGAATTACCCCTGGCGGTGCTCAGGGGGACCATAGGGGATGCTGGGGATCGAACCCGGGTCGGCTGCATGCAAGGCTAACGCCCTCCCCGCTGGGCTATCGCTCTAGCCCCTGTACATCATAATTCTAGACACATGTAAATTGAAGTATTTTAATAGGCTCTTAACAGACGTTGTGCATTTAAGTATACGCGATATTTTTTAGAGAGACGTTGTGTATTTAAGTATTAGTTAAGTATGCTGTTGCATGGTTCTTGTCTATTGAACTGTATACGATATGATTTTTAGGTAGGTGTGCGTTTAAGTAGTACAAAGTGCTGTGGATGGATATTGTGTGTTTATGACATGTTTTAGATAGAGATTTGCGTATTTAAGTATTACAATATGCTCTTAGATAGATGTTGTCTATTTAACTACGTGTGATACGATTTTAGATAGATGTTGTGTATTTAAGTATGACACTGTGTTCTGGATAGATGTTGTGTATTTAAGCCTGTGCAATGTGATTTTAGATTGATGTATATTTAAGTATGACACTATGCTCTGGATAGATGTTGTGTATTTAAGCCTGTGCAATGTGATTTTAGATTGATGTGTATTTAAGCGTTACCATGCGCTTTGTAGATGTTGTGTATTTAAGTCTTACAATATGTTTTAGATAGATGTTGTGCATTTAAGTATGACACTATGCTGTGGGTAGATGTTGTGTATTTATGTACACTGTGATTTTAGATTGATGATGTGTATTTAAGTCTTACAATATGTTTTAGAAAGATGTTGTGCATTTAAGTATGACACTATGCTGTGGGTAGATGTTGTGTATTTATGTACACTGTGATTTTAGATTGATGTTGTGTATTTGAGTATTACACTAGGCTTCAGATAGATGTTGTGTATTTAAGTATGTGCAATATGTTTTAGACAGCACCGTCGCACTGTCCTCCCGTGGTTCATCGATCGGCTCGAGCGGGCACCAGTCACGTCTCCACGGTGAGACTTGTTGTTGTGACTGTGTTTGGCATCTCGCAGACACCACGGGGAGCTGGTCAGGCTCTACCGGGCGGGCGGGATCCTCTCGGGAGCTGGCTGAGAGGCTCTCCGAGAGGGGCGAGGAATCGAACCCGGGTTGGCCGTGTGCCAGGCCAATGCCCTCCCCGCTGTGCTATTGCTCCAGCCCATTTTACATAGTGGTTGTGTAGTATTTAGGTATTGCTATGTGCTTTATAGATGTTGTGTATTGAAGTACTACAATATGTTTTCGATAGATGTTCGGATTGAGGTACTGCAGTCTGCTGTGTGTCGATGTTGTGCCTTGACGTATGTACAATATGATTTTAGATGCTGTGTCTTTCAAGGATGTGCAATATAATTTTTGTTTTAAATTTTTATGAGTGAGACGCCATGAGGTCCAGTTGTCGACTGACAAATTTTTGTGCTTGGGTTTCAGTTGTACAATGATCGAGTACCCATCCCTCCACCAGTGCCCACTCTCCATCATTTACCTTTTTTTTTTTTCAAATTTTTGTTAGTGACACACCATGAGGTACAGTTGTCGACTTACTAACTTTTGTGCGTACACTGTGATTTTTTTAGAGCAATTTGTGTTTAAGCATTTTTATAACAGGCTTTGACCCGGATGCTGCATCTCGAAGTAGCCCAGTTGTGCATTTTGATCGATGTTGTGTATTTACGTACAATGCTGCCGCTAGAGATTCAGCATAGGGTGTTTGCCTTGTGCAAGGCCGGCACGGCCGACCTGGGTTCGAGTCCTCCGCCCGTCTCGGAGAGCCTCTCGGCCAGCTCCCGAGAGGATCCCGCCCGCCCGGCAGAGCCTGGCCAGCTCCCCGTGGCGTCTCCGCGATGCCAGACACAGTCACCATGAGTCTCACCGTGGAGACGTGACTGGTGCCCGCTCGAGCCAATCGATGAACGATGGGAGGACCGTACTATATTATTGATTATTAATTCTGAGGCAAGGAACAGAGTAAAAGAGTTTATTATTATTATTATTATTGATTATTGATTATTAACAACAAGTCTCACCATGGAGTTGTGACTGGTGCCCGCTCGAGCCAATTGATGAACAACAGGAGGGCAGTGCTATATTATTGATTATTAATTCTGAGGCAAGGAACAGAGTAAGAGTTTATTATTATTATTATTGAATATCGATTATTGATCATTAACAACAAGTCTCACCATGGAGTTGTGACTGGTGCCCGCTCGAGCCAATCGATGAACACCGGGAGGGCGGTGCTATATTATTGATTATTAATTCTGAGGCAAGGAACAGAGTAAGAATTTATCATTATTATTATTATTGATTATTGATTATTAACAACAAGTCTCACCATGGAGATGTGACTGATGCCCGCTCGAGCAAATCGATGAAGAACGGGAGGACCGTGCAATTTTGATATTTATAATGATATTGAATGCCCTCAATTAATATTCCTAATCAATCATATTAATTATCTGACACATTGATGTAAAAACTAGATTGTAGTAACTGCAATTGTGCTGATCACATTAATCATATTATATACGAATTAATTCTATGGATGTTAATGAATAGCAAATATTCATCGATATTGATCTCAATGGGCTGGAGCACAGCGGGGAGGGCGTTGGCCTGGCACGCGGCTGACCCGGGTTCGATTCCTCCGCCCCCCTCAGAGAGCCCCTTGGCCAGCTCCCGAGAGGATCCCGCATACACGGGAGAGCCTGACCAGCTCCCCGTGGCGTCTCCGAGACGCCAAACACTGTCACAACAGGTCTCGGCACTGCGCCCGCTCGAGCAAATCAATGAACAACGCGCGACATCAGTGACAGTGACAGTGCAACCCGGCGGGCGTGGGTTCGAGCATCCAAGCGTGAGAGAGAGAGAGAGAGAGCTCGTTCTACTCCCAAACCCTGCTCCAAGCAACTGTGTCTTGCCTCTGACCCGCCCCTGGGCCTGGACACGCTGGCCCCAGGCCCCGGGGTCCACTTGCCCCTCTCAGAGCACAGGACTCGGAGTGACCCTGTGGGGCCACGCTTGCGGGTCACGGGCAGTGGATGTGGCCAGTACGGCCGCTGACCGGCTCCGCGTCCCCTTCTCCTGCCTGGCAGGTGGCGGCGTGCTGGTCATCGAGGGCGTCCTGGACGCGGACGGCCGGGGCCCGCTGACCACCCAGCTCTTCTCCCTCAACATGCTGGTCCAGACCGAGGGGCAGGAGCGGACCCTGGCCCAGTACACGCAGCTCCTGGAGGCCGCCGGGTTCCGCCGTGTCGCCCACCGCCATCCCGGGGGGCCCTACCACGCCGTCCTGGCCCGCAAGTGACCGCTTCTCCGCCTGACGCCGTCGCCACCCGAGGGCCCCTGACCCCAGGGCGGCGTCCAGCTGCCCGTGGACGGCGTGGGCAGAGCACGGGCGTCCGGCAATTGGGGAGGAGGCGGCTGGTGCCCGCCTGGGTTCGACGCTCTCCTGATTCTGTGCTCACGTGGTGTCTGCGTCTCCGTCCTACTGTGTCTAGTCTCTGCTCTGTTTTTTCCCTTCCTTTCTTTCTTTCTTTCTTTCTTGCTTGCTTTTTGGGACACACCCGGCGATGCTCAGGGCTGACTCCTGGCTCTGAGTCACTCTCTTCCTTCCTTCCTTCCTTCCTTCCTTCCTTCCTTCCTTCCTTCCTTCCTCCCTTCCTCCCTTCCTCCTACCCTTCCTTCCTCCCTCCCTTCCTTCCTTCCTTCCTTCCTCCCTCCCTCCCTCCCTCCTACCCTTCCTTCCTTCCTTCCTTCCTTCCTTCCTTCCTTCCTTTCTCTTTATTTCTTTGTTTCTCTTTCTTTCTCTCTTCCTTTCTTTCCTTCTTTCTTTCCATTCTCTATTTGTTTCCTTCATTCCCTTTCCTTTTTATTTAGTTTATCCTTCATCCCTCCCTCCCCTTCCTTCCTTCCTTCCTTCCTTCCTTCCTTCCTCCCTTCCTTCCTCTCCTTCCTTCCTTCCTTCCTTCCTCCCTCCCTCCCTACTACCCTTCCTTCCTTCCTTCCTTCCTTCCTTCCTTTTTCCTCCTTTTCACTTCCTTCCTCCCTCCCTTTCTCCTTCCCTCCCTCCCTCCCTCCCTCCCTCCCTCCCTCCCTCCCTCCCTTCTTCCTCCCTCCCTCCCTCCCTTCTTCCTCCCTTCCTTCCTTCCTTCCTTCCTTCCTTCCTTCCTTCCTCCCTCCTACCTTTCCTTCCTTCCTTCCTTCCTTCCTTCCTTCCTTTTTCCTCCTTTTCACTTCCTTCCTCCCTCCCTTCCTCCCTCCCTTTCTCCTTCCCTCCCTCCCTCCCTCCCTTCTTCCTCCCTTCCTTCCTTCCTTCCTTCCTCCCTCCTACCTTTCCTTCCTTCCTTCCTTCCTTCCTTCCTTCCTTCCTTCCTTCCTTTTTCCTCCTTTTCACTTCCTTCCTCCCTCCCTTTCTCCTTCCCTCCCTCCCTTCTTCCTCCCTTCCTTCCTTCCTTCCTTCCTTCCTCCCTCCCTCCCTCCTACCCTTCCTCCCTCCCTTCCTTCCTTCCTTCCTTCCTCCCTCCCTCCCTCCCTCCTACCTTTCCTTCCTTCCTTCCTTCCTTCCTTCCTTCCTTCCTTCCTTCCTTTTTCCTCCTTTTCACTTCCTTCCTCCCTCCCTTTCTCCTTCCCTCCCTCCCTCCCTCCCTCCCTCCCTCCCTCCCTCCCTCCCTCCCTCCTTCCTTCCTCCCTCCCTTCTTCCTTCCTCCCTCCCTCCCTTCCTTCCTTCCTCCCTCCCTCCTACCCTTCCTTCCTTCCTTCCTTCCTTCCTTCCTTCCTTCCTCTCTTTTCTTTCTTACTTTTCTCTTTTTTTTGACTTTTTGGGTCCCACCCGGCGATGCTCAGGGCTTCCTCCCGGCTCTGCACTCAGGAATGACTCCTCCTGGCGGTGCTCGGAGGACCTTATGGGATTCTGGGAACCGAACCCGGGTTGGCCACGTGCCAGGCCGACACCCTCCCCGCTGGGCTATTGGTCCAGCCCCAATTCTGTGCTTCCAATCTACTGCATTCTATTCAGTCTGCATCTGACGTATTCTTGATTTTTTTTAATTGAATCACTGTGAGATGGAGCTGGAGCGATAGCACAGCAGGTAGGGCATTGGCCTTGCACACAGCCCACGCGGCCGACCCGAGTTCGATTCCTCAGCCCCTCTTGGAGAGCCCAGCAAGCCACCGAGAGTATCTCGCCCGCACGGCAGAGCCTGGCAAGCTTCCCGTGACGTATTTGATATGACAAAAAACACAGTAACATCAAGTCTCACAAAGGTGACATTACTGGGCCCACTGGAGGAAATCGATGAACAATGGGAGGACAGTGACAGTGACAGTGACTTTCAGATAGAGCCTTATAAAGCTGTTCGTGATTGGGTTTCAGTCCTACAGAGTTCCAACCCCCGTTCCTCCACTAGACACAGTTCCCCACCACCAGGGTCCCCAGGGTCCCTCCCATCACCTCCCCCACCCCTGCCTGCCTCTATGGAAGACACTTTTCTTCTCTCTCTCTCTCTGTCTCTCTCTGTCTCTCTGTCTCTCTCTGTCTCTCTCTCTGTCTCTCTCTGTCTCTCTGTCTCTGTCTCTGTCTCTGTCTCTGTCTCTCTCTCTCTCTTTCTTTTGGGCATCATGGTCTGCAATACAGGCACTAAAAGGTCACCAGAAATCTCCCTTTACCAGGCTGGAGCGAGAGCCCAGCGGGGAGGGCGTTGGCCTGGCACGTGGCCGACCCGGGTTCGATTCCCAGCATCCCCTAGGGTCCCCCGAGCACCGCCAGGAGTCACTCCTGGATGCAGAGCCATGAGGAAGCCCTGAGCATCGCCAGGTTGGGACCCAAAAAGCAAAAAAAAAAACAAAATTAAAAAAATGAAATCTCTCCTTCGATCCTGTTCTATCTATTCACCGTGTTGCACGTGTGTCACTGCACCTAATCAAGGCGGTTGTGTCCACCCAACCCACCCTGACCCCTCGGACCCTGTTTATTGTCTCCAGCTGTTTTCCACCACCGGGTCTTTGTCTGTTGAATCCTATCTTGTCCCCTCGACCCCGGCCCCCTCTGTCCTCCTTCCCCCAACGAACTCCGCCCCCCACCGACGGGGCAGTTGTTGATGAATAAACTGTGTCTCTCCGGAAAGCTGAACTGTGTCCTCCTGATGATGGCCCACCAGGGTTTCCAAGAAATGCTGCACACACTCTGTGTGTGTGCGTGTGTGTGTGTGTGTGTGTGTGTACGAGAGGCAGAGGACACACGGAGGCAGGAAGAGAGAGCGAGGGGCAGAGAGAGAGACTTGCGTGCAGAGACAGAAAAGGAGAGACAGTGAGAGAGATGCACATGGCAGACGGAGAGAGACAGGGAGATGCAGAGAGAGAGACACAGAGATGTCGAGAGAAGGAGAGATGGTGAGAGAGATTCACACAGTAGATGGAGAGAGACGGGGAGACACAGAGACAGAGACACCAAGAGAAGGAAAGACAGCGAGAGAGATGCACACAGCTGATGGAGAGAGAGAGAGACAGGGAGACGCAGAGACAGAGACACAGGGAAGTCGAGAGAAGGAGAGACAGAGAGATACACACAGCAGACGAAGAGAGACAGGGAGATGCAGAGACAGAGACACTCAGAGAAGTCGAGAGATGGAGAGATAGTGAGAGAGATGCACACAGCAGATGGAGAGAGACAGGGAGACACAGAGACAGAGACAGAGAAGTCAAGAGAAAGAGACAGTGAGAGACAGCACACAGCAGACGGAGAGAGAGACAGGGAGACGCAGAGACAGAGACAGAGAAGTCGAGAGAAAGAGGACAGTGAGAGACAGGCACACAGCAGACGGAGAGAGAGACAGGGAGACGCAGAGACAGAGACAGAGAAGTCGAGAGAAAGAGACAGTGAGAGATAGGCACACAGCAGACAGAGAGAGAGACAGGGAGATGCAAAGACAGAGACACAGAGAAGTCGAGAGACAGAGAGATTGTGAGAGAAATTCACACAGTGACGGAGAGACAGGGAGACACAGAGACAGAGATACACAGGGAAGTCGAGAGAAGGAGAGACAGCGAGAGAGAGATAGACATCCCAAGAGAGACAGAGATGGGCAGGAATGCAGAGAGACAGCGAGAGACAGAGATAGAGGCAGAGACACAGAGACATACAAAGAGGGACAGAGAGAGAAACATGGAGAAATACAGAGACATTAAGACAGAGACATGCAGAGACAAAGATGGACACAGAGACACAGACACACACACACACACACAGAGTCTGGCTTTTTCCGAAGCTGCGATGCAGACAGGCCAAGGGCTGAGTCCAAGCTCCCAGCCGGGCACTGCTGGACACATGCCTCAGTGGACATCCCGGGTGCAGAAGGGACACGGGGGCTGGGGGACAATGAGGGCACGGACGGGGGCGGGTTCCAGGAAGGGTGAGGCAGAGGAAGAGGAGGAAGAGGAGGAGGAAGAGGAGGAAGAGGAGGGAAGAGGAGGGAAGAGGAGGAAGAAGAGGAAGAAGAGGATGAAGAGGAAAAGGAGAAGAGGAGGAAGAGGAAGAATAAGAGGAGGAAAAAGAAGAGGAAGAGGAAGAGGAAGAAGAGGAAGAGGAAGAAGAGAAAGAGGAGGAAGAAGAGGAAGAAGATGAGGAAGAAGAGGAGGAAGAGAAGAAAGAGGAGGATGAGAAGGAGGAGGAGCAGGAGGAGGAAGAAGAGTAAAAAGAGGAAGAGGAGGAAGAGGCGAAAGGGGAGGAAGAACAGTAAGAAGAGGGGGAAGAAGAGGAAGAGGAGGAGGAAGGGAGGAAGAGGAGAAAGAGGATGTGGAAGAAGAGGAGGAAGAAGAGAAAGAGGAGGAAGAAGAGGAGGAGGAAGAGAAGGAAGAGGAGGATGAGAAGGAGGAGGAGCAGGACAAGGAAGAAGAGAAAGAGGTGGAGGAAGAGGCAGAAGAGGAGGAGTAAAAGGAGAAAGAGGAGGAGTAAGAAGAAGAAGAGGAAGAGGAGGAGGAAGAGGAAGAAGATGAGGAAGAAGAGGAAGAAGAGGAAGAGGAGGAGGAAGAGGAAGATGAGGAAGAAGAGGAGGAGGAGGATGAGAATGAGGAGGCGGAGGAGGAAGAAGAGGAGAAGGAAGAAGAGGAGGAGGAAGAATAGGAGAAAGAGGAGGAAGAAGAGGAGGAAGAGGAAGAGGAGGAAGAAGAGGAAGGGGAGAAAGAGAAGGTGGAAGAATAGGAGGAAGAGGCAGAAGGGGAGGAAGAAGAAGAGGAGGAAGAGGAGGAAGAAGAGGAGGAAGGGAGAAAGAGGAGGTGGAAGAAGAGGAGGAAGAAGATGAGGAAGAAGAG